ATTCACAATCCACCATCCAATCAGAGTTCATCATCAAAATATCTTGTCCTTTTGGTAGCAATTCACAATCCACCATCCAATCAGAGTTCATCATCAAAATATCTTGTCCTTTTGGTAGCAATTCCCCTTCCAATCAGATTCATTATCCACCATCCAATCAGAGTTCATTATCAAAATATCTTGTCCTTTTGGTAGCAATTCACAATACCACCTTCCAATCAGAGTTCATTATCAAAATATCTTGTCCTTTTGGTAGCAATTCACGATACCACCTTCCAATCAGAGTTCATTATCAAAATATCTTGTCCTTTTGGTAGCAATTCATGATACCACCTTCCAATCAGAGTTCATTATCAAAATATCTTGTCCTTTTGGTAGCAATTCACAATACCACCTTCCAATCAGAGTTCATCATCAAAATATCTTGTCCTTTTGGTAGCAATTCACAATACCACCATCCAATCAGAGTTAATTATCAAAATATCTTGTCCTTTTGGTAGCAATTCACAATACCACCTTCCAATCAGAGTTCATTATCAAAATATCTTGTCCTTTTGGTAGCAATTCACAATCACCTTCCAATCAGAGTTCATTATCAAAATATCTTGTCCTTTTGGTAGCAATTCAAGATACCACCTTCCAATCAGAGTTCATTATCAAAATATCTTGTCCTTTTGGTAGCAATTCACGATACCACCTTCCAATCAGAGTTCATTATCAAAATATCTTGTCCTTTTGGTAGCAATTCACAATACCACCTTCCAATCAGAGTTCATTATCAAAATATCTTGTCCTTTTGGTAGCAATTCACGATACCACCTTCCAATCAGAGTTCATTATCAAAATATCTTGTCCTTTTGGTAGCAATTCACGATACCACCTTCCAATCAGAGTTCATTATCAAAATATCTTGTCCTTTTGGTAGCAAATTATCAAAATATCTTGTCCTTTTGGTAGCAATTCACGATACCACCTTCCAATCAGAGTTCATTATCAAAATATCTTGTCCTTTTGGTAGCAATTCACGATACCACCTTCCAATCAGAGTTCATTATCAAAATATCTTGTCCTTTTGGTAGCAATTCACAATACCACCTTCCAATCAGAGTTCATTATCAAAATATCTTGTCCTTTTGGTAGCAATTCACAATACCACCTTCCAATCAGAGTTCATTATCAAAATATCTTGTCCTTTTGGTAGCAATTCACAATACCACCATCCAATCAGAGTTCATTATCAAAATATCTTGTCCTTTTGGTAGCAATTCACAATACCACCATCCAATCAGAGTTCATTATCAAAATATCTTGTCCTTTTGGTAGCAATTCACAATACCACCTTCCAATCAGAGTTCATTATCAAAATATCTTATCCTTTTTGGTAGCAATTCACAATACCACCATCCAATCAGAGTTCATTATCAAAATATCTTGTCCTTTTGGTAGCAAATTATCAAAATATCTTGTCCTTTTGGTAGCAATTCACGATACCACCTTCCAATCAGAGTTCATTATCAAAATATCTTGTCCTTTTGGTAGCAATTCACGATACCACCATCCAATCAGAGTTCATTATCAAAATATCTTGTCCTTTTGGTAGCAATTCACGATACCACCTTCCAATCAGAGTTCATTATCAAAATATCTTGTCCTTTTGGTAGCAATTCACAATCCACCATCCAATCAGAGTTCATCATCAAAATATCTTGTCCTTTTGGTAGCAATTCACGATACCACCTTCCAATCAGAGTTCATTATCAAAATATCTTGTCCTTTTGGTAGCAATTCATGATACCACCTTCCAATCAGAGTTCATTATCAAAATATCTTGTCCTTTTGGTAGCAATTCACAATCCACCATCCAATCAGAGTTCATCATCAAAATATCTTGTCCTTTTGGTAGCAATTCACGATACCACCTTCCAATCAGAGTTCATTATCAAAATATCTTGTCCTTTTGGTAGCAATTCATGATACCACCTTCCAATCAGAGTTCATTATCAAAATATCTTGTCCTTTTGGTAGCAATTCACAATACCACCTTCCAATCAGAGTTCATTATCAAAATATCTTGTCCTTTTGGTAGCAATTCACAATACCACCTTCCAATCAGAGTTCATCATCAAAATATCTTGTCCTTTTGGTAGCAATTCACAATACCACCATCCAATCAGAGTTCATTATCAAAATATCTTGTCCTTTTGGTAGCAATTCACGATACCACCTTCCAATCAGAGTTCATCCAAAATATCCCTTTTGGTAGCAATTCAGAGTTCATTATCAAAATATCTTGTCCTTTTGGTAGCAATTCACAATACCACCTTCCAATCAGAGTTCATTATCAAAATATCTTGTCCTTTTGGTAGCAATTCACAATACCACCTTCCAATCAGAGTTCATCATCAAAATATCTTATCCTTTTGGTAGCAATTCACAATCCACCATCCAATCAGAGTTCATTATCAAAATATCTTGTCCTTTTGGTAGCAATTCACAATACCACCATCCAATCAGAGTTCATTATCAAAATATCTTGTCCTTTTGGTAGCAATTCACAATACCACCTTCCAATCAGAGTTCATTATCAAAATATCTTGTCCTTTTGGTAGCAATTCACAATACCACCTTCCAATCAGAGTTCATTATCAAAATATCTTGTCCTTTTGGTAGCAATTCACAATACCACCTTCCAATCAGAGTTCATTATCAAAATATCTTGTCCTTTTGGTAGCAATTCACAATCCACCTTCCAATTTTTATCAAAATATCTTGTCCTTTTGGTAGAAATTCACAATACCACCTTCCAATCAGAGTTCATTATCAAAATATCTTATCCTTTTGGTAGCAATTCACAATACCACCATCCAATCAGAGTTCATTATCAAAATATCTTGTCCTTTTGGTAGCAATTCACAATCCACCATCCAATCAGAGTTCATTATCAAAATATCTTGTCCTTTTGGTAGCAATTCATGATACCACCTTCCAATCAGAGTTCATTATCAAAATATCTTGTCCTTTTGGTAGCAATTCACAATCCACCAATCAGAGTTCATTATCAAAATATCTTGTCCTTTTGGTAGCAATTCACAATACCACCTCCAATCAGAGTTCATTATCAAAATATCTTGTCCTTTTGGTAGCAATTCACATACCACCTTCCAATCAGAGTTCATTATCAAAATATCTTGTCCTTTTGGTAGCAATTCACAATACCACCTTCCAATCAGAGTTCATTATCAAAATATCTGGTCCTTTTGGTAGCAATTCACAATACCACCTTCCAATCAGAGTTCATTATCAAAATATCTTGTCCTTTTGGTAGCAATTCACAATCCACCATCCAATCAGAGTTCATCATCAAAATATCTTGTCCTTTTGGTAGCAATTCACAATACCACCATCCAATCAGAGTTCATTATCAAAATATCTTGTCCTTTTGGTAGCAATTCACAATACCACCTTCCAATCAGAGTTCATTATCAAAATATCTTGTCCTTTTGGTAGCAATTCACAATACCACCTTCCAATCAGAGTTCATTATCAAAATATCTTGTCCTTTTGGTAGCAATTCACAATACCACCATCCAATCAGAGTTCATTATCAAAATATCTTGTCCTTTTGGTAGCAATTCACAATACCACCATTCCAATCAGAGTTTCATTATCAAAATATCTTGTATTCCAATCAGAGTTCAAAATATCTTGTCCTTTTGGTAGCAATTCACAATTCATTATCCACCTTCCAATCAGAGTTCATTATCAAAATATCTTGTCCTTTTGGTAGCAATTCACAATACCACCTTCCAATCAGAGTTCATTATCAAAATATCTTGTCCTTTTGGTAGCAATTCACAATACCACCTTCCAATCAGAGTTCATTATCAAAATATCCCTTTTGGTAGCAATTCACAATACCACCTCCAATCAGAGTTCATTATCAAAATATCTTGTCCTTTTGGTAGCAATTCACAATACCACCAATCCAATCAGAGTTCATTATCAAAATATCTTGTCCTTTTGGTAGCAATTCACGATACCACCTTCCAATCAGAGTTCATTATCAAAATATCTTATCCTTTTGGTAGCAATTCACAATATTACCATCCAATCAGAGTTCATTATCAAAATATCTTGTCGTTTTGGTAGCAATTCACAATCCACCATCCAATCAGAGTTCATTATCAAAATATCTTGTCCTTTTGGTAGCAAATTATCAAAATATCTTGTCCTTTTGGTAGCAATTCACAATCCAATCTTGTCCTTTTGGTAGCAATTCACAATACCACCTTCCAATCAGAGTTCATTATCAAAATATCTTGTCCTTTTGGTAGGAATTCTTGATACCACCTTCCAATCAGAGTTTATTATCAAAATATCTTGTCCTTTTGGTAGCAATTCACAATACCACCTTCCAATCAGAGTTCATTATCAAAATATCTTGTCCTTTTGGTAGCAATTCACAATACCACCATCCAATCAGAGTTCATTATCAAAATATCTTGTCCTTTTGGTAGCAAATTATCAAAATATCTTGTCCTTTTGGTAGCAATTCACGATACCACCTTCCAATCAGAGTTCATTATCAAAATATCTTGTCCTTTTGGTAGCAATTCACAATACCACCTTCCAATCAGAGTTCATTATCAAAATATCTTGTCCTTTTGGTAGCAAATTATCAAAATATCTTGTCCTTTTGGTAGCAATTCACGATACCACCTTCCAATCAGAGTTCATTATCAAAATATCTTGTCCTTTTGGTAATTCACAGGTAGAGTTCATCAAAAATATCTTGTCCTTTTGGTAGCAATTCACAATACCACCTTCCAATCAGAGTTAATTATCAAAATATCTTGTCCTTTTGGTAGCAATTCACAATACCAACATCCAATCAGAGTTCATTATCAAAATATCTTGTCCTTTTGGTAGCAATTCACAATCATCAAAATATCTTGTCCTTTTGGTAGCAATTCACAATAATCAGAGTTCATTATCAAAATATCTTGTCCTTTTGGTAGCAATTCACGATACCACCTTCCAATCAGAGTTCATTATCAAAATATCTTGTCCTTTTGGTAGCAATTCCAATCAGAGTTCATTATCAAAATATCTTGTCCTTTTGGTAGCAATGATACCACCTTCCAATCAGAGTTCATTATCAAAATATCTTGTCCTTTTGGTAGCAATTCACAATACCACCTTCCAATCAGAGTTCATCATCAAAATATCTTGTCCTTTTGGTAGCAATTCACAATCCACCATCCAATCAGAGTTCATCATCAAAATATCTTGTCCTTTTGGTAGCAATTCACAATACCACCATCCAATCAGAGTTTATTATCAAAATATCTTGTCCTTTTGGTAGCAATTCACAATACCACCTTCCAATCAGAGTTTATTATCAAAATATCTTGTCCTTTTGGTAGCAATTCACAATACCACCATCCAATCAGAGTTCATTATCAAAATATCTTGTCCTTTTGGTAGCAATTCACAATCCACCATCCAATCAGGGTTCATCATCAAAATATCTTGTCCTTTTGGTAGCAATTCACAATACCACCTTCCAATCAGAGTTTATTATCAAAATATCTTGTCCTTTTGGTAGCAATTCACAATACCACCTTCCAATCAGAGTTCATTATCAAAATATCTTATCCTTTTGGTAGCAATTCACAATACCACCATCCAATCAGAGTTCATTATCAAAATATCTTGTCCTTTTGGTAGCAATTCACAATACCACCTTCCAATCAGAGTTCATTATCAAAATATCTTATCCTTTTGGTAGCAATTCACGATACCACCTTCCAATCAGAGTTCATTATCAAAATATCTTGTCCTTTTGGTAGCAATTCACGATACCACCTTCCAATCAGAGTTCATTATCAAAATATCTTATCCTTTTGGTAGCAATTCACAATACCACCATCCAATCAGAATTCATTATCAAAATATCTTGTCCTTTTGGTAGCAATTCACAATACCACCTTCCAATCAGAGTTCATTATCAAAATATCTTATCCTTTTGGTAGCAATTCACGATACCACCTTCCAATCAGAGTTCATCATCAAAATATCTTGTCCTTTTGGTAGCAATTCACGATACCACCATCCAATCAGAGTTCATTATCAAAATATCTCGTCCTCTTGATAGTAATGTGTCTGATCTCAACCAATCAGAATCGATCATCAAAAGGGAAAACCCCTTCTGCTATGTATCGAATCATGTGACGCTTTTCTTTTATAATGTCGTTCATTTCTCCTTGGGTTTTTCTCAACACATCAAAAGGTACTTGATGCAGTGCTGCCTTGAAAGCTGGAAGAGTAAGTTATTTGTTTTTCATTTTCTACAACATTACGTGTGTTTTTAATACATTATATATAAATATCAAAAGGTAATTTTACAACAACATTATACAAGATGAGAAAATATACAAGTAATTGCATTTTTACTGCAATAGTTTGAACATTGCAAGAGGTCTGTGTTAGAAATTCACACAATCAAATATCTAATATTACATTACAATAGGTAGCCAGTGACTACAGCATGAAGGCTATCACCAACTGATAACAGTACTGACCTTGTTTACACTCTGCCAAACTTGCTACAGAGAATGAAGTTTTTCACAGTGATATTAATGGCAAGCCAGAAAATAACACGAGAAACACCTATACACATTGCTTCGTACTAAATTCAATTACATACAAGATATGAAAAATCAAGACCGCATAAAGAATTCACTTAACAAAAGTTTTCTGGCTCCAATGATGTAAATTTTCATATACTAGCTATATATAGGCACTGGTACTGGAGAAAACATCTTTAACAGGACAGTTTTTAAATAAATTATAATTAATGACCTGATTGAAATTTTGATCCGTTCCTCGAAACACTTGTTTGATAATTGATTAATTTGTTAATTATTACTTTTAACTGATTATTGTTTTACAAATGTTATCAGGCTTGTAATAACTAAATTAGTTACCATACTAATCACATCATAGTTGATCAATCCAATGTCACCAATTTTTTCTATGAAATGAAAACAAAGATTCATCTTCAAGTGGATTATAACTCCACTGTATTTGCTCTGGTGACACCTAACATCACTATGTTTATTGTTTTTAGTGACACCTAACATAATTCTGTTTATTGTTTTTAGTGACACCTAACATCACTATGTTTATTGTTTTTAGTGACACCTAACATCACTATGTTTATTGTTTTTAGTGACACCTAACATCACTATGTTTATTGTTTTTAGTGACACCTAACATAATTCTGTTTATTGTTTTTAGTGACACCTAACATCACTATGTTTATTGTTTTTAGTGACACCTAACATCACTATGTTTATTGTTTTTAGTGACACCTAACATAATTCTGTTTATTGTTTTTAGTGACACCTAACATCACTATGTTTATTGTTTTTAGTGACACCTAACATAATTCTGTTTATTGTTTTTAGTGACACCTAACATAATTCTGTTTATTGTTTTTAGTGACACCTAACATAATTCTGTTTATTGTTTTTAGTGACACCTAACATAATTCTGTTAACTGCTCTTAGTGACATGTAAATATTTCTGTTTACTGGGTACTCACTTTCATCCTTGGCACAGGTGTAGAAGGCTGTCCACACTGCCCCAGAGTAGACCTCACTGGGCAGCGGGAATTCATGACTAATGTTCAACAATTTTCCCAGGAAACAGTAGGCATGGTAGTATAGGTCCTACAGAAAACAATATTATAGAGGCATTCAGTAAATATAACAGTACATTACTGAGTACATTTTATGTTTTACTTGTCATGTTAAGGTTGTATTTTGTCCTGTTGGTAATCATCATATATCCCGTCATGGGATGTGATAATTATTTTTTTTTTATACTTTACAATCTATTAAATATGTATAGAAATCAAAATATATGCCATGATAGGTAGTGTATATCTTGAACCCTCTAAAAAAAATACAATGTACACTGTATTTACTTAATAGTTTTTTTTTTCAACTGTACACAGACACATTATATATTCGATAGAGTCCTAAATGACAAATGAAGATAATATTTGTGCTAGCTGAATTGACTGCTGGGAAATTGTTGTAGATATTCAACAACTATGCCACAGTAACACCCCAAAAGATCATATGCCAGGAATTCTAATAAAATTAATATTAACAATGCAGAGTACCTCAGAAAGATATTTCACAAAGCCTCCTAACACAGACAGAGTAACAGTTACCTGGTACCAGTTGCCCAAGGTGACACATCGTGGTGTCGGCCGTATACATAACCCTTGATATTTAGCTGCTGATGGACGTCCCAACATCATCGCCAGTAAGGCCAGAAACTCATTCTCTGTCACATACAGGTTGCGACCCCAGTTAAGTAATAGGAAGTACCGTAGAACATACACTGAAAAGCCTGTTTTCCTTCCGTAGCGTTCAAACCATTTACTCTCTGACCCTGTTCCTATCAATAAACAGTATATTAGTGTGAAGACCATGTATAGCTGTGTGCCAGATAGATACAGTAAGTGTTGTGTATTCTAATTCTTCTTTCTCATCGTACCTTTTTCAAATACTTTGCAAAAGAATTAAAACAAATGTATCAGAGACAGACTTACTTTGTTCCATGTGTGACATAATGTAATGGAAATGTTTGAGATTCCAGAATATCTTATTTGGTTGTATACGGTTTATAGAAGGAATCATGTCATCTTCAACGGCCAAAACCTACAATATATAAATCAAACCACATTTCCAACATGAATATTTCTGATAAGTTATATACCTAGTGAAATTAAGAGTACACATCAGTCAGAACAAATGGTTTTTAGAAAATGGCTGAATCCCTTCAAACCAAACATCATACTAAGTTTACATACCTAGTAGACAGGTCCCTGTCTCTAGACTATTTAATTCATATGGGAAAAAAATAAAACATTGCTGAGTTCTGATCTCTTTCAGAGTTTCATGGGAAGGGGAGATAACCTAGTAGACATACACAGCAAGGTATTACTTTTAACTTTGGGGATAGTAACAAGTCGAACTACCAAGTATTATGTAGGAATTTTTTTAATGCACTTTAACATTAAAATATAAACTTTATTCCTTTATAACAATTGTGAAACAAGCTTACATATACCACTCTTGTTGGTCCAGGATGGAATAGCGCAATGGGTCTTACTGTGGGAGGAAACTGGAATACCAGATGATCCCAAACCTTTTCAGGTCTGTTATGGAAGAATCCAAACCTGAACACTCAGGTGAAAGGCGAGTGTTTTACCATTGCACCATCAAATCATCCAGTATTAATATCAATTCCTTGAACTTTGAAAATATGATACTTTCTGGTCAACCCTTAAGGACTGTTAAGAATTAACAATATGTCAGAATTTGTATGCATTTATTGGTTATTACATCTACACATCAACTGAAATACAACTTTATCAGAAAAGCCAATGGCAAGCTTCATGGAAAGAGAAACATCCTTAAAACAAGCTTGCTTCAATCATTATGACTATCTAAATTCAATTAGCCACTCCTTTATAAGTGGGACACAAACATTTTAAGTAAAATACAATCTTGTACACAGAATTACATTTATTAAGAGAAACTGATTACATTATGTCAACTACACTCCACAGAACCTGGTTAAGAAATCAAGAAAATTCAAGTAGGACAGATTTCTACAAACAAACAGTTAGACAGCTTGAATCCAGCATATTCACAATCTCTATCAATCCTCGTCTCCCATCAACCTTACTCTGGAGCATACAGGAGCCACAATAATACCAGTTATATATTACATACATGACATTTCTATAGGAAGAAGATACTTCCTGTCTTTTGCTTTTTTGCTTTCAGTTTTTGAAATGCACAATTTAAAAAAAGAGAAAAAAAAATATCAAAACATATTTCCACAGAGGTCAAATACAAGAAAATATATGTATTCTGTAATAAAATAATTTTTACCCCTGCTGTTCTTAGAGGTTCCCATGGACTACGGCCATACTCCTCAACCATACTCTCATGTCGCTGAAGAACGATTCTGTACACATGAGCTCTGAGTGGAGTCAAGGCAACCTCGGCACATGGCTGGCCTTGATTCATGTCCTCTGCGACTGCACGATGCCAATAGAAGTTGTTATGTATTCCCATCACCCTAGCAACAAAGCGACCTTCTCGAATTCCCTTCTCCAAAATCTGGGACAGGTACCCAGTCTTGCTGGGTTTCTCTGGGGGAATTCCAAGGTTGTAGAAGTTACGACTGTGGACTACTGCTCCACGAAATCTCATATTGTGTCTCTAGAACGAAGCATACATACTGTAGAGGATCTGAGGCAGACATTAGACAACAGTTGACAAAGGTGGTAATCAAATGAGTTAAACATCACCATCTGATTACTAATGTTAATTAAACATCTATTGCTGATTAAAATGTCAATCGTAATTCAAAACAGTCATCATGCTGAACCAATGTCTGATGTAATGTACTGACTGCTGAACAGACACATTGACCAGTTATTACTAAGTAACTTGTAACACATTAGCTTTTTGATTTTAATCATTTACTTGGGATGAGATCTGTTTCAAGCGGTAGAACTAGGTTAAGTCTTTTCTTCTTACCTATAGTAACATGGTAAGTATAATGTATAGATACATGTAGGGATGAAACGGTAACTGGAGGCATGAACAGGCCAAAATAACTTAAATAATTTTTCCTTTTAAACACTTGTACATGTTAAGATACTTCTATCGGGCTGAGAACTGTATTATGGTGCACCGCATAAGGGAGATGGAAAGTAAATATCGCAGGTGTTACCTCCCTTTATTACATCCAGCTGTGACAACCATTATCTGCTCTAACACTAAACATTGCTGAGATACTGTTTGGACAATATACATCCACACTATATAGTCACCTAATAAAATGCTCATTATGTCAACCATGAGTGACTTGACAGCTGGTTCATTTATCAGACATAGTTTGTTTAATGAGAGTCATGATCTGAAGTGATAGGATATGTGAAAGAGAGGAGAGGTGTCAACATCAATGACATTTTTCATATCACACCTACCATTTCCTGAGCAAAGACTGGGTGAGTTTCCGGTACAGACTGCTCTCTGATCCATTCAGCCACACCTTCAATCCCACGACCTTTGATCTCAAGTTTGCGTTGAAGTCCATTTCTCATGTACGGACCGGTGAAATCATTTCCTGCTACTATACTTAGTTCAACCAAGAGGTCATGTCTGGGAAGCTACAAAATAAAAAATCCATGAGTTATGAAACACAAAAGGTGTCATTTGATAAGTACGGTATACAAATATAACTCTATAATACAGTCACAAAACTGTTTATATCAATTATCATGAATACCTCACACTGTAACAATTTATAAAATACCATAGAAAGGTTTACACATATTTCACACAACAGTTGTCCCCCCCCATAACATCCAGAATACATCAGATTTATTTTGCTTCCCACAAATTGCAACATCTGATGTCAAAGAGTTTTTAAAGACTAATTCTAGTCATATTTTCATAATGAAGAACACAAGGTGAGGTTTATAATTCAAATTCCTTTACAATTCCACCATGACATAATTGTAATTAACAAGATAGTCAATTATTGGAAGTTTAATCAAAATCCCCCAAGGAATGAGCTCACTAGATTTTCTGACAGGGATTTCCATCACAGAGTAACGTTAACCTTGACCCAACAAACCTGTAACTTAAACTTGTCTGTAATATTATTTTCCTTTATATGAAAGTTAAGAATTTTATAAATCCCTCCAAGAATGAAGCCACAAGGTTGCTAGAAATAAAAAAAATGGCCTTGACCTTACCCCGGCATTCCTCAAACCTGTCTGTAATAATATGGTCACCCAAGGAATGAAATCATTAGATTGCTGACAAAGATTTTCTAAACAAAAAAAAAAAAAAATAAAAAAAACCAGTGACCTTGTCTTTGACCTTAGAACCCTGAAACTCCAACTGGAAACTCCAACTGGTGTGAGAAAATATGATCTTTTCTATATGTGTGATGGTAGATTGAAATCCCTCAAGAAAGGAAGTCAGACCTCTAACAAGGATTTTAAAACATTTGTAAAGCTGACCCTGACCCTGAAATTTGACATCAAAACTTTTAGAAGTGTGTGAAGTTTGATCAAAATCCTTGAAGGAACGAAGTGCTGATAAGAATAGAGTTACGTAATATACACATGTATATTGACAGGCATATCTGTATCCTCATGACACACTAACAATGTAATTCTATTTCATTTAATATTTGATGTTTCAATATTTCATTAAATGCCATGCATGAGAAACACATCTGTTACATGTATCAAACATTAATGAAAATAATTAACTAATTACTAGTCAGATATCTGAACTGTTTCAAAACAAGCATGAAATACATTTTATCTTGAGGGACTTTTAATGATGATGTAAAAGTTTAAAATTTGAATTTTGTATTCTTAAAATATAAATTTAGCAGTTTAACAAAATAATGCTAAGTTATATATCTGTTGACTCTCATCACCAACAGTAAATTCACTTAAATAAAAAAACCCTTGAAATTTGTCAGTATTTGTTACAATAATTTTGATGTATTGATAAGTTTGGTGTACATGATCATAAATGATCTTGTACTGGAAATAAATTTGATGTATATATACTAGCGTTATAAACGTTTACTAACAAAGTAAATACAGAGCCACTCCACATGGTGTACCAGCCAACTATACAATTCTACTGAAGGTTTATAGTGTTTATCAGTAGGTGTTAATTCTGTTAAAAGTTAATAGACTCTCAAAATATTTATATCATTTCATTATTTGTCTCACTAAAGTTCAAGACACTTTTTTATACCAATGCCTAACTAGCTTGCCATAACTTTTATATATGATAACTAACAAGAATATATTTGGCTGAAATCCACTAGGAGCTGCCTCTGCCAGTCTGTGTGACATTTGTTTTTTCTGGCATTTATTTATGTATATTATGCATATATATAAAACTTTCAAAAATTAAAAAAAAAAAAATAAAAAATGATTCTAAGCCTTGCAGATGATGTCATTTGAACATTTTAACTACACAAAAACATTGATCGATTTGACCCAGAATATAAGAAGATAAATTCTTTTCTCCAAACATACTGGAAAGCTGTCCTGTCAGCCACAAACGTTGACTTTTTAACCACTTTGGTATTAATATTCTTTTTCAAGAGAAAACATTGATGCCAGACTGATGACAGGTGGACCAATATGCAAGATGAGCTAATATATACCAGTATATAAATGTAGAATATGAAGTTAAATAAAAATACATTTGTTCATTTCTTGTCAAAATGAAATCTTTTAACTAAGCTGTCATTTCTCCCTCTTTCTGTCACCTTTAATCAAAACCATGTAAATCTAAGATTTTTTTTCTTCAAAACTGAACAGTCTCCAAAATATTTTTTTTTCTTCTTAGACAATTCAAGGGAGGTGTTAAACAGGAAATGAAAACACCTTTTTTTGGCCTTATACTCAAATACTTACACCCAGAATGGACATGACCCGATTTGTTGTGATTACTCCAACTATCAAACGCTCTGGTTTAATAGGCATGTCACATGCTTCGCCTAGCTTGAGGTCTCCCATTAGGTCAAACTGTGTGTTAGGAATAAATGTGCTGTCTTTGAATATACAGAAGTCTGAGTCATTGCTGAACACTGCGAAAGCTTTCTCACGCTGATGCAGAGCTTGTGCTATGACGCAGTCAGCTTCTCCTGCCGGATCTAGATAAACCTCACAATCACATTGTTTCAGGGTGTGTATAAATTGTTCCTCCTGTAGAAGTGGTCGCACATTTTCCTGAAGTTCAGTGATAGGTAGTGCACCACAACATACTTGCATGATGTTGCTTATCTTTCCGATATCACGATGATGTCTTTCAATCCATGTATCCATTTTTTCGCGAGTCGTTTCTGTGGATGCCCCTTTGGCACCGTCCACAAAAAACACTAAATTGATGCGTAAAGCTTTCAAGTCTAAGATAAGCTTTCTCAGGTAAGCGTGCATGGAGGCATATTCACCCCCCATGATCCACAGGTAATCATTACTTTGGTGATGACACAATGAAAACCAAAACTGCTCCGAAACATACATCTCAAAAGAGTAGTAGTCTACAAGTATCTCTATTCCGCCTTGATCTCGAGCCACCTGTACAAGGTCAACTTCATCAACACAAGCATTTCTCTGCCTCATACAGGCAGACAACAGCCCCTGAACACCCATAATGATGCTGTGGATGACAGCTACACCAGAAGTAAGTCAAGCATCATCACAAACCTGAGAAACCTTCTTTTCAGTGTCAATGGTGATACCCTGGCATCATGTTAATAGTTTACATAAACATAAACCTAAAAAATAAAGACAGATCTAGTAAATATCATACATGTTTAAGCATTACAACATAAATGTAATTGATCTTTGAAACAAATATATATATATAGAGAGAGATGACTAGAGGATAGCCAATAATGTTGCTAATAAACAGCTTGAAATCCTTCATCTCCGTTTACTTAATTGCAACATGTTTTGTGTGGAATATACAATCAACAGGAATACTATTTCTGCTGTCAATGGCGGTGGATGTAATTATTCAAAGCTCTGATGAGGCTAAGTAATTTTCCGTGAAATTCAACTCCTGATTATTATTGGTGAATCAATTTCATATTGCTTGTCACACCCACGGGACATTCTATATTGGTGTAATCCTAGTGAAACAATAAATATTAATGATGCCAGATTCTTGCTCATTGAGCCAGGATGTAAACAAATCGGAGCAGGCCTTAGCAACCACCAGGAAAACCTGACTGGGATTCACAAATGGAAGATTTAGAAGAGGAAATGATCCACATATTTTAGACCTAGTGATAACAAACGAAGAGGAAATGATTAGAGAAATTTAATATAATAGCCCAATAGGAAATAGTGACCATTTAGTTCCAAGTTTTGATTTCTTCTGTGAAGCAACTTCACCTGTTAACAAAACACCATGTTTGCGAGACGACAAAAGTGATTATGAAAGCATGAGAGAGGACGTCTTGGTAAATTGAAATGAGATATTAAACAGCAACATCGAGGATATGTACAAAAAACTTATGGATGTTATGAATAATAGTGCAACTAAACATATTCCAAAGAGTAATCCAAGACAACAGATAAATGGCAATGAAAAACCACCACTTAAACGGAACATTCGGAAAAAAATCAAAAGAAAACACAGAATTTGGCAGAGATATATGGAAACCAAAGGTGAGGTCAGATATAAAGAATATGCAAAAATATGAAACCAACTCAAATGTAAAATAATGAAAGCAAGAAAAGATTTTGCAAGAAGTATAGCAGAAAACATCAAAGTACAGCCAAAACGTTTTAGGAAATACGTAAATTTGAAAAGGAAGGTAAAAACTGGGATATCAGATTTGACAGGTTTGAACGGGAATAACCAACAGATGGCAACAAACGATGCTGACAAAGCAGATAAATTCTGGAGTAAATCAATAAGGTCATGGAGGAACTAGAGACCTGTTAGTCTTACTAGTATTGTGGTAAAAAGTTTGGAAAAACTAGTCAGGGATAGTATTGTAAACCACATGAACAAAAATGATTTATTAAGTTCTAAGCAGATGGGATTTATTTCTGGCAGGTCAACTCAATTGCAACTACTTACAGTGTTGGAAGAATGGACAGATATAATTGACAACAGAGGTCAGCTGGATGTAATCTATATGGATTTAATGAAGGCATTTGATAAGGTGCCACATCAACGTTTAATCACAAAACTTGCCGGCTATGGAATAAATTTACAAATTATCAATTGGATCAAAGACTTTCTGAGTAATAGATGCCAAAGAGTTATTGTTAATGGAGAGTCTTTGAAAAAATATCCTGTGATTAGCGGTATCCCTGAAGGAAGTGTTTTGGGACCAATCCTATTTCTTATTTATGTCAATGACCTACCAGAAATACCTGTTTCTTCATTGCCTTTGTTTGCTGATGATACTAAATTATACCGACAAATAAGTAATCCTGGGGATTTAAAAATTCTCCAGGCAGATTTAGATTATTTTCAAATTTGGTCGAAGAAATGGCAATCAAAATTTCATCCGAACAAGTGCAAGGTCATGACAGTAAAGGGAGATGGAAAAGGAAACTATTCTATGTGGGGAACAGAAGGCGAAGTTATTCAGTTAGAAAATCTAACACACGAAAAGGACCTTGTCGTCATAATAGATGAGGACTTGAACTTCAAAACTCATATTCAGGCGATGGTGAACAAAGCCAACAGTATAGTTCGGCTTATTAGAAGATATTTTATTTATTTAGATGAATCAATGTTTAAATAACTGTTTAAAGCTTTAGTCAGACCCCATTTGGAACATGCTGGACGTGTATGGAATCCATTCAAAATAGAGGACATCAATTTGACTGAAAATGTTCGGAGAAGAGCAACAAAGCTTCTTCCCAGTTTCAAGAACTTAACATATTCCCAACTTTTGGAGAAACTCAATCTTCCAACACTTGTTCATAGAAGAAAGAGAGGAGATTTGATAAATGTTTATTAAATAGTTAAAAGTATATATGACAGCAGGGTAACTGAGAACTTGTTTTAGATGGACACTCTCAGTAGAACCTCAGATCATTCTTTGAAGATCTATAGAAAACAATGTCGACTTGAAAGCAGGATGATTTTTTTCACATACAGGGTGGTACATGTAGATCCTTAGAAGAACAATTTTGATACCAGATTTTTATATAAAGTGATAGCATTGGAGTGACAACAGCACTTGAGGAACCCCTGCCTTCTGCTGTACAACAGTTTATTCCAGAGAGTTGTCCCGACTCTCTAGATGAACAGAGCCCTATCTCACCAGAGGTCAGGATATTGAAAATCACTACCCCTGTGTCTAATGAAAACTAGGTAAATGTGGATGTTAAATATGTTAACCAACCAGACATGGTGACACACTATTGGTGCAGATGAAAATAGGGCATAAAAGGCCAGCTATCAAAACTAGAAACAACTAAATTTGTTATCAGTGTAGCATGACTCCTTCTTATTTGCTTTAGTCACAAACGAAATCTGATTACACACAGTATACATTTATCTATACCTTGTTTTGTTCTGATTTTTCTATGTCACTCATAAAACTACATTTATTTTAGGCTTTTTTTCCATTTAAGATTAAAAAGAGTCAACAGCTATATGAATTATGGAAAACACCCTGTTCCCTCTTGTGTTCGGATTAGCGACTCTTCAACTCAGTAAAGGGAAATCAACGCTATCCGCAGCTAGTAAGGTGACCCTTGTTCTCCTCTCTACATGTAAACATTGGTTGTATGGCAGGAGGGTGGATCAATTGGATCTGACGTTCTGTCGACAAGAATGTATTAATGTGTAGTGTTTGATCATAATACACGGGTTACAACGATTGTCACAAGTTGTATTCTTTTAGACAGAACAAGAGACCGTGAGACCCCAGCAATGATCATTTTCCCCCATGAAAACGTCTTGATCAGGAGGTTAGAATGAGCACGATCATCACTGACGCATGAAATGTATTGATCATCATTTCTGACAATTTTTGATCAATTTCTGTTTGAATATTGAGAAGAACATGCATATAAAATGCCAGATTCTAAATTGTCATAGCATTTATATAGTGCATCAGATATTACTCACCGTTTTGATTACCTTTGGAGTTTGGAGCGAGCGATATCAACCGGAAGCTAACAGTATTACCAAAATGTATACTAAAAGGAGCGCAGTCCTATTTGGAGTAACAAATTGCAACGCCTCATGGGGATGTAAACACAAATGATTAGAAAGACGGTATCTCGTGCTAATATCTCATATCAAATTCTTTTTTCTTCCTCCTTTTAGCTCGTGTAAGATTAGTGCAGTAATTTATTTTGAAATAGTTAAAATCGTTTCATAAATCACAAATCAATTGGAAATTCATGTAAACTTATGGTATTAAATTATATTCCCTTGCTCCGAGATATTAATTAATACTATCAGGGTCTCGGATATACCAATATCTGGAATTTCAAGATGGCAGACGATTGCTTACAGCATCCCCCTAAGGACATCAGGGTTCGAGTGCTCGAAGTCAAGTGGTAATGAAGAGGATCATTTTATCATGAAGTTTATGAAGAAGAGAATCTAAATTTAAGTGTACAATCTAACAAATATAAACGTCTTTGTTTGTATTCTTCGAGGTCTAGACAATTGACAGACATGTATTTATATGAAGAATGGTTTGAATTTTGTAAAGCCACACACCAACAGTTCAATATTGGCCTGGAATGGAAATCAGCTCTGATCACAAACACATTCATCCATTATGTTATTTTTCAATTATTCATTGAATATATACATTTTATGTGGCAAAACTGTAAAACCAGACAAGCTGTTAGGTTGATATGGCACACCAAGAAAACTTTGTACTGTAACATTCAATGCCAGGATTCTATCTAATATAACAATCATGTGCCGTTCGGTTCATGAATCCTTACAATTAGAGTTTTACCAATTTCACCTCGGAGGCCTCTCCTTCAGGCATTTTTTTCACTGGTTAATATTTCCTGATCGGGATTACAGAGTGTTGTAATGCACTAAAGTAAATAATGGTCGTTTTTCTGAACACCACCAAACACCGTCTACAGGAGTTAATAAGGAGTTGTTGGAGAGTAACCATATTTCAAGTCTTTGACCTTGAATAAAGGTTAGGGCAATTTATATTTGCAATGTGCAAATATAATACCAGCTTTTACGCAGTACTCTATGCAATTGTTTTATTACCACCATTTACTGTCCTTCAATCAGTCCAAGCTGTCGCACTAGTATGACCCATGTGACCTTTAATCTAAGCCAAGATGATCCCTTCCCACAAACTTAAAAAAAACCACTTAACATCAGCAAGCTACTGAATTCAGGCACTTTTGTGTAAGCAGTTGAAATGGTTGGACCGCATGAACCAGGTAGAGATCGGGACTGAGGCTGGACTGCTGAATATTTGGCAGTGCAGTTTGAGGGGTCCGGCCATTCCTGTACAAAACCAATTTGCTGAATAACATTAGTTTTCAGAATTTAATCATAAAAAGTAGGATGGGTACACTCACGTATTTCCAAGAGCATTGTGTTATAAAGTGTGAGTGAAATGAATGGTATCTTAATGTAAGTTAATTGATTTATGCTGGACAGTAAATTCGGAAACTGTGCATTTTTAACTTTATATCAGATCCAGCATCCAGTACAAGCACGTTTGTGTATAGTGGAATAATTCCTGACCACCTGAACAATTTCACCCGGGTAACGTCATTGCAGCCTAAATATTATCAGTCTAGCTGTTTTGGTTAATCGCCTTAAGTCCATTTCATTTCTCAAAAGTCATCTGTCTAGATAATTATAAGCTACTAGAAGTGTTAAAGTATGCTATAAGCTGGGATGTTCCTCTCGTAACAACATCTACATAATGTACTACAGTCTGTGGTTCAACGCTGAAATTAAAATTTATAACTGGGATATTTCTCTCGTAACAACATCTACATAATGTACTACAGTCTGTGGTTCAACGCTGAAATTAAAATTTATAACAAACAACTAAAACAAAATATTAGATGCAGATAACACCAACATTTAATGATGCAGTTAACAGTTAAACAAGCTTTTGACACCTGGGAGCTCTAACTATTTACAGAACACACAGATAAGCTTAAGTCATAAACCAATGTGTACAGAATTAAAACACTCAAGTCTGGACCAATGTGTATGGACCCCACAAGTTCCAGCCGTTGTCCAATATTTATTAAACTCACAATCTCGAGTCCTGTATGGACCAATGTGTATGGATCCCACAAGCGCTAGTTAATTTCAAAGGATATAGAATTCACAAGCCAAGTTGAAAAAGTAAGGTCTATCTTTAAATGGGAAAATAAAAGAGTATAGTGGCAAGGATATAGCAGTTTCTTTACTGATTCAATCTATTACTGCTAACTTGCCAAATTACGAATTCTATAGAATGTGATGCACTATTTTCCACAAACATATTTTCTGTATTAGAATTTTTTAGTTATTATTTAGAAGAGTTTTATTACGGAGGTGTATTATGGACCTCTGATGGAAAATGAGGACATTATACAGTCCTGTGGGTATTTTTCATGAGGACTGCAAATTACAGAAGATATGTTGTGTCAAAAGAGTAACATAATATTATGCTAAAACAATATTTATCAGAGCTCAAAATTGGCCATGAAATACAATTTAAACACTTCTTCATGTTGAATAAAAAAAATAACCGAATGTCTGGTACATTTATCAATAAAACAATTCCTAGAAAATTTCAACTTTAATTTCAACAAAATATCAAACTCCTTGTCAACTTAAATCAATAAATCAACTTTTTCCAGAAAAATCTTACTAATATGATATATCTCTAGTAGTCTAACAGATAGCACTTTTCTGCTTGATACTGAATTTCCTCTACATAAACCACTTTCTGGCTGTCTCAACAGCTTTCAGGTTTTCTGGTGTAGCCTTGCCTAAAACCACTGATGTTGTTTTCTAAAAACAATAGTTACCATACTTTGTGAAAATATAGAAAATGGTTACAAAAATGACTCAGATAGGATTCTCCATTTCATTTTTTACAAACAAATGATTCTCATTTTGCACAGCAGAGCTGATTTTGTCATATATCTATACGGAAAACATTTCTTTCATTTAAAAGTTGTGTATAAAATTTGAACAAGTGTATTCACTTCTTCAATTTGATAAAACACAATCTGATCAACATCATCGTAATTCTTGTGTAGTTTGAGAGCAAAGTGTGCAGTACAATAAGACACTCAGTATCAACATAAAGCGAGAAGAATCCTGAGATGTTGAGTACCCTCATCAGTGCTAAACAAAGCAGTGCATCAACATTGGCATTTACCAGGGTTACATACCTGTTCGTCCTTCTTAAGGAAACAACTCAATATTTCAGTTTCCTGCAAGAGTTGGAATGAATCCTGTGGAGCCATTCTAACTATTAATCCCTTGCCCTTCCATGGACACTAATGTAACAGACATGATGATTTATTTCTGTGCTTTTACTAGGTTAGGAACACCAACCTATGGATTACTAGCCTAATAATCAAGCTAGAAAAGCTCTCTCTAGCTACTGACCAACCAAGAATACATTCACTTCACAATTAAAATCTGAACCTCCAATATGTTGATGACATGATAAAATATATACCATTAAAATCAAGAGATTCAGAAGGGAGCATCACCATTCAACTGCGTATGGAAGTTAACATCTTATAGAGGCTTACTGAAAACTCAAATTGTTTTCCTTTTCTTTTTTAATTTTCTAAATAACACTTTTTTATCAGTGATTTCTTTTCTGAAAGAAACAATACGATCTAAATTTTCATTACTTTTGATTGAATTATTTATATAATACATAACTGGAACCAGGACACTGGTGATATATATGACACCAACTACAATTCTAAATATATTTTTTGAAATGATATAGGGGATATCAACTGACACATGCTGATTAAGAAATGCAATTAATGAGGAAAAAAAAAAAAAAAATCTAACCAACTTTTCCCTGTTGGGTACAGAACCAACACCGGTCTATATTACTTACCTTGCTGTTAGGATTTCACAAGGCAAATCAATCAGTCTAGATTACATTGCAGAACATAATACTGATTGTAACACTTTGAAAATTAAATAATATCACTGATTTCATCAGTATCTACCTACATGTACATTTTTCTATAATCTTTACACATCTTTTGGTACTGGTATATATTGACAACTGTACCATCATTAGAAAAGAAAACTACAGCTCACTGTTTTTTTTTCAAAAACTAGAATACTGAAAATATTCATCTTGTTAATCCTAGTTTTAATACCATGGAGTTAATATCTGATACATCCTCTACGGATGTCTCGACTAACAATACCACCACAAATTTCTGACAAATTTGAATGACTGTAGAAATTATAAATTTGTGATCTAACATTCCATCAAATAACAATATTTCATCACAACAATGATTTGACACCAAATCAAGAGATTTTTTCAAACCTTGATTTAGAGCCCAATAAATATTCATAGCTGAAAAGTGACATTATTTTCCAAAATATTTTTTTAAAAAATCATGAAAAAAGGAACTACAATTTAAGCAAACTTTGCTCTAAAATTGAGTTCAACACAAACGAGTAGACAAGTAGGGGTATCAGTCCAACACAATCCCAATATTTCTCTGATTTTCTAAATTCATTACGATGGAGATAATACATATTGGCTTCTTCAATATTGATAACTGTGAATTAAATAATATAAAAAGATGCTCATTGCAGTGAAACCAACTTCATATAACAAGAATGGATGGTAGTATGATATAACAATAACATTAGGTGTTCTTTATAATGAGATTGAATGGTGGTCCAGTGTACTACCGGTATGACTGGCCCATGATACATGGTGGTCCAGTGTACTACCGGTATGACTGGCCCATGATACACGGTGGTCCAGTGTACTACCAGTATGACTGGCCCATGATACATGGTGGTCCAGTGTACTACCGGTATGACTGGCCCATGATACATGGTGGTCCAGTGTACTACCGGTATGACTGGCCCATGATACATGGTGGTCCAGTGTACTACCGGTATGACTGGCCCATGATACATGGTGGTCCAGTGTACTACCGGTATGACTGGCCCATGATACATGGTGGTCCAGTGTACTACCGGTATGACTGGCCCATGATACATGGTGGTCCAGTGTACTACCGGTATGACTGGCCTATACCCAGTAATACCACATAATAATGTTATCAGTGATGAGATGATTAAACTTTCTTGTGAAGTACATTAATATTTAGATACAAGTTACATTTAACATTTTCACAAATTTGCAAATGTACAAAATTTAAAAGTGGAGAAATTAAACAAAACATTTTATCACAATTAAAAATATATACTCACTTGTTTTCCTAGTGCACTTCAATTGTATTGTAAATTCTTAATACTGTGAAACAGACTGAAGGCTCCACAATTGTTACATTTGATAAATAAATCATATGACCAGCTGTCCTGATACCAGGTTAAGTGTATTAAATTAAACACTAATGTTGACCTTAGTCTAACGCATATAATACAAAGTGCTCTGTATAGCTATAATGCAGATATGTCTGGAGTTTTATTCAATATGTCTACAATGATGAATAAGTTAAGCCCTGAACAAAATATTGTATAAAACTGCAATAAATGTGGGTGGGATTATCAACAGAGATGGGTTAATTCCCGGATATAAATATTTTACTTCAGGAATAATATTTCTGCACACCTGAAAAATAATTGTTCCCACCTTACTTAGGAAATGTAGCCTATCATTCATTAAATATCCATTTTGAAGGGAAAAAAGGAAATAATACATATTCCATCTTGACAATAATCACCTGTACAGAGAATTTTTGTCACATGCAGTAGTGATTGCCAGTTAGTATGGTACCTGGTAATAGCAAGATTAGTTCTTAGGAACTGGATAAATATTGGAACACAGAAGATGAACCAACATCATAGAACATCTGTTGACCAGGCATTTTTTTCACAGCTCTTTTGAACCCTTCGAGATGATAGATGATACCAATGAAAATTGTATAATGGTAGCTGAAGGAGCAGGGTATGTTGTATGAAGATGTTGCTGTTCTAGTTTGTAGAAATCCTTGGCATGCATAACAGCACATTCCAGAGATGCGACATGGACCAGTCAAGCCAGACCATGATGAGTGGTGATGATGGAAGATTCTTCACTTCCTTGCCCTGTTCAACATGTCACAGCTGTCAATCACAGGAATGCCCCTCGTTATAGAATCCTATAAACAGTTCTACAGTACTATTGCAGTACTATCATTTCTTTTTCCGTTCTTCTGTACAACGTGGGCAGTACCATTTGCCTTTAGGTTTTGTTTTTAAACCCACACACGCAAAATGAAACCATTCAATGGGACACTGCAATAAAAATATTAAATAATATCAGGTCTACCATGTACTTACACATACCAGAGATCCTAGAGGGATCTTGGCGTCCATCACTATTTGTTATTTAAAAGATGGACCTTTTCTCTTCTTTCAATTGATTTTGCTTTCAATTTAAGAAAATAATATTGGCAACAATAAGAATATTCATTGTTGAAATCCACAGTGACCAAATATTCACCATTTCGTTTTTCTGATCAGTGTCAAAACTACACTAATAGTGAATGTCCAAGGGGAAGCTACATACGAAATCAAAGAGTGATGCATCAAGACATCTCAAATAGCAACTATAAGCTTTCATTGTCAAAATTCCAGATGGCCTTCTGTCACCCATTTTACTTTTCTGATTAATATTTAAATCAAAGGGCACGACTAAAAACCAACAGAAATCTACTATGAAATTTGAGAACAATCCAATGCAATACTTTTGAAACTGAGATAACAAGAATTGTTCAAGGACTGACAACAGGCAGACAGAATGGAATGCAGAGCAATACAAACAGCCCACTATCTAATGACGATGGACTAAAGACAGCACTAAAGCCAACTCCAGTAAAATATCTATTCCACCCATGGCCTCCAGGTTTTGTTTAGGGCTATTCCAGTAAAACATCTATTCCACCCATGGCCTCCAGGTTTTGTTTAGGCCTATTCCAGTAAAATATCTATTCCACCCATGGCCTCCAGGTTTTGTTTAGGCCTATTCCAGTAAAACATCTATTCCACCCATGGCCTCCAGGTTTTGTTTAGGCCTATTCCAGTAAAATATCTATTCCACCCATGGCCTCCAGGTTTTGTTTAGGCCTATTCCAGTAAAACATCTATTCCACCCATGGCCTCCAGGTTTTGTTTGGGGCTATTCCAGTGAAACATCTACTTCACCCCCAGGACTCCAGGTTTTGTTTAGGCCTATTCCAGTAAAACATCTATTCCACCCATGGCCTCCAGGTTTTGTTTAGGCCTATTCCAGTAAAACATCTATTCCACCCATGGCCTCCAGGTTTTGTTTAGGCCTATTCCAGTAAAACATCTATTCCACCCATGGCCTCCAGGTTTTGTTTAGGCCTATTCCAGTAAAATATCTATTCCACCCATGGCCTCCAGGTTTTGTTTAGGGCTATTCCAGTGAAACATCTACTTCACCCCCAGGACTCCAGGTTTTGTTTAGGCCTATTGCAGTAAAACATCTATTCCACCCATGGCCTCCAGGTTTTGTTTAGGCCTATTCCAGTAAAACATCTATTCCACCCATGGCCTCCAGGTTTTGTTTAGGCCTATTCCAGTAAAACATCTATTCCACCCATGGCCTCCAGGTTTTGTTTAGGGCTCTTTCCAACCTAAGGACTTCAGATTTTCGTCAATTCTCAAACTATATAACGATTTCATATTTTCCCACCAAAACTTTTGATCAAGGCATCCCAAATCCTTATTAATATCTTGATTTAAGCAGTATATCCTACAACTTAAAAATATGTTTCAAAACTAATCTAAAGGCTAATCTTGACAATGACATGCACAAAAATGAGACATTTAACATTTTAATTTCACTTTTGTTTTTTTCGCGTAGTAATAACTACTCAATTAATTAATGTTTCAAAAGTCTATAAAAGTTCTGAGTGATTTTCTTCAGTGTTTTCTACTTGATGAAATCCCAAAGACTTTTCCCTATCCTTACCTCAAGATTATCACAGCCAATCATTTCACCATAGGACACTTGATGACAGAGACAGTATGTAGGTTCATTGGGATCTACTGGCATGTCGAGGACGTCAGAGGGATGGGTAATGGGAAGAGGGATAATGGTTACTGGAGCTGGGGGCTCCTCTACTTCAGGAACACTGTAAACATACAAGCAAATAAAAGAAGTCAGTTTGTTATAAAAATTCTGAATTTCAATCACCTGGCTATACAATATATGATTTCATTTTTCTCTTTCTTTCTTTCTATCTTTTCTGGTTTTTCCCCCATACTGAAATAATGATGGTTCCTTGGCCCTAGAACTTGACTATTTTTATGCATGACAAGGTTATTTGTGACCTATCTAGCAGGACCTCTGAAATCAAGAGATAACCCAATTTATGATCAATATGATGTGGATGTGGGGATGGAATGTCAAATTCAGAAAACTCACACCTAAATCGGGGAAAATTTAGCAAGTATGAACACAAACTGTCCCAGGTAGGGATTGTTAACCTACACAGTGACAAAGCAAATCTTCACTGGAGTTTGTGAAATTCAATGCTCTGCTGGCTACCCTATCACAAATGGTGAGCTAAGATGCTATATGTAGAATATTAGTTTGATGTTAAGGTCATATAACTACAGCTAACTATAGAAAGTAAATAAGATTTTAATGACAGTAACATAATACAACATGTCTGTACTTAATATTTTTTTTTTTTTTTGGGAGGGGGGGTTCAATAACACAATATATGTAAAACAGTTCAAAATGAAACAGGCAGTTGAAATAGTTATGCAGTTGTCAATATGTTTTGCAATGTATACAGCTTGATGCCGCCATACTACACATTATCATTTGAAAATCAATGTTGTAATTAACTGAACCTCTAACTCTAATTTGAGAAACAAATCAAGAATGATGACAAAAATAATGGTACTAACGATTGTCCTTTTTTCTTTTTCTTCCTTGGAATTTCATCCTCAAATTTTTCTTTCATAGACTTTCTTTTCTTGTCCTTGTCTTTATTAGCTGAAAGTGAATGTAGGAAATTTGATACTCCGACACTAAATTGCTGGGCAAACAACTACTGTCAACAAGACTTTTCACAAATTTACAGTTTAATTTGTTTAGTGCATTTTTCAATGACAGAAAAAATATTCGTAGAGAAATTTTCAGTGTTTTGAAACCAATTTTCATTCACTGCTAAACAAATAATGTTTCATTACAAACAGAACTTAAATCAACAGTAATATTTTACAACAGCAGCTATAGATATCACAGTGAAAGATGCTGAGCAGTATTTCAGTTAAACACCATTGTAAAATATGTTGGAGAAATTGTAGAAAACTGTGTGTAACTGTGTATAGTGTAATATGAATTTGCCCCTTTTGATAATATATACTTGGCCTTAAGTAGGGACTACCCATATTTGAGATGGTGCTCGCTTTTAATTGCTCTATTTATGAAAAATATTCAATGACAGCTCAACAAGATACGTAGGAATACTTTTCAGACATCTAAGGAAAGTATACACAGTCGATAGGAAAATTTAAGGACATGTTATGCTGTATCACTTTTTGAAATAAAATTGCTCAAAGTCTAAAAAAAAGCTTTAACTGTCTCTTATTAACAGATACATCATCATATCATCCAAAACATGTTAGTTATTTTTTGATGTGCAAATTTTAAATGCAGTATGACCACATGTGTGATTTACCAGATTATGGGGTACCTAAGTTAAGTGTAGATAACCATTAAGTTGGGTGAATTGCTTGGTGGCACCAAATACAAAAGTTGAGAATGCAAGGTGTACAAGGTTTATCTTTATAAAAAGAACAACCAGTTTTGATAAAATTGATAGTCCCTAACTTATGGCCAAGTGTATATATAAAATGAAATCCTCCCCATGATAAGATATTTAACTGAAATTCAAGAAATCTAATCTTTCAGTAGAAAAAAAACTCAAATACACAGAATATGTTTTTCATTACAAATGTGACTTTCACTTATTCTACCTTTGACTATATTGTCCCACTCTTGAAAAAAAAATGGCTATCTTATTCCACTCCTGAAAATGTTAAATTATAGAACTCCATGACAATAACAACAGCGTAAGGTGTTCACTAAAACCCCTACTTTTCTTCCCAGAATCAGAATCTGTGTTTGACATGTTTGAAGATCCTCGTTCCTTCAGGTCTGCCTCAAATCTAGCCAAGTCTGCATCAAGTCTGCGTATATGTTTGTCAACCTGCATGAAAAATTGCATCCTTTATAAATAGTCAATCTTAACCTGTTAGAGCCAGTCTCACATCTCTAAAGGAAAAAAGATAAATAATAGCACAACTAGGTATCATTTCTTTAAAAACTTGAGACAGAAAGCAATAATGGTAATTTTGCTTGTTAATTATTATGAAATATATGACAATTAATTACAATACTTAACATTTGTAACAACTCCTTCATTTGATTCTCACTTGGAAGATGTGGCAGACAAGTATATTGGGTTTTTTTCACTTTTTTTTCTTCAAACTTTTATTTTTTTTTACGACAGTTGCAAAACAAGCTACCAGTTTATATCCAACATCTTGTTGGCACGGACAGAAGCATGCAAGGGTTTTAATGTGGGAGGTTACCGAAGTACCCAGACAAAACACAGGCGACAAACCTCATACATTTTCACATGTGCTCAAGGAATCCCAGACTGATAGGTGAAATGCAAGTGTGTTTACATACCACTGCATCGCCAGATCATTATTTGTTAAGCAGGAAATAAAATCTAAAATTGATTGCTAATTTCATCTTATATTGTATTGTTCCATTACAACTCATCCTAGTTGTCAATACATACCATTTCATATGTCTGCATTGCCAACTGAACTTTGTCATCCCCGAACTCTTTACTCTTGGAGTAAAGACTTGTGATGGAATCAAGGTGTTCTGTTCTTTTGTCTGTCGTCATGCCACGAACATTCACCAAATACTCATCAGCCATCATGTCAATGTCCTTCATCAGGTCTGGAATTGAAAATTTCAACTTTTCTTAACATATGAACATGTGGACAATGACTTCAAGATACAAATTTTTTTTATAAGACCGATAGCACACGTAAACTTGGTCTTCAATTACATGTGCGATACAAATAAATATTACATTGTATAAAACTACAATATCCTTTTATTTCACTTATATGTGATTTCTTTCTGTCTATAAATAATCAAGTTTTCAGGAATTTTTTCCCCTATATTCTTTCACCAAACAATCAGTGCTTTTCATTTTTAGCTGATGTCCAGCTAAATATTTACATCAGAAAAAGTTCTTACAATTACTCAGTCTTAAAATCTACCTTGTGATCTCTGATCTAGGTCTCTCATCAGATTGAAATTCCTTTGAAGTTCAGTTGGTAAGGACTCTAGACCTGGAAAAGAAGAAAATGTAAAATGTCTAAAACTTAACAATGTAATTATCAATACATCTTATCAACGATGGTTAGAGTTATTGATTTAACACCTCTTTTTTTTTTTTTATAAATATGTGTAATACATATAGGAAACAATATTAATTTTTCATTAATATTCAATATTAAAGTGTTAAATAACTTTTGACACTCTGCAGACTTACAGTAAAGGAAGAGTAACTCAATATGGGTTTGTGTCACAGGAGCAGTTTTCTTTCTTTCTATTTCTTTCACAAGACTTATCTTTTCTTAATCAAGGAAAATTATCTAATTTTACAGCTACATTAAGGATATTTTACAACAACAATAATTTATCATTTTGATTTCATTTACATACCATTCACATAAAACCAAGTACTGACAGTCTATTATCGGGACGATAGACAAAACATAACTATATTCTATCCGAGTGTATTTTTTTTCTTGTTACAAAGTGTACTGACTTAGCAATAACAAAGGAGTCTGTTTCCCAACATCCCTTCTGTATTAAACAGCATAGGATTACTTCCGAGTCATGACAATGTAAGGTTAAGTTGTCTAAATCAATTGAGCTACAGTCATACATTACCACTGTTGTATCATGACCTGCTGCTCATATATAAGTCTCATCAGGTTCAAGTTTTTGTCCTAATTAAAAAGCTTTCTTTTCCTTTCTAAATAGTTTTTTACTACATATTTAAAGAATTGCCTTGAAAATTGACAAAAATGTTTGTAATCCTGGTAAATACGAGCCACATTGTTCCGTTCAGCTAGAGAGAACTTTTCTTTAGCTCAATCTGTTGAGCGTCAAACTAGTAAGCCAGGGTGGCCAGTATGAATCCTAGCAGAGACATTGAAATAAATAATGACACCATAACATTGGCACCCATGTAGGGACTCAGGAATAATACTTAGCGAAACTGTAACCACTGGAAACTTGAGAACAATTATTTCCTGAAGGGGGATTATGTGACCCTGGTAAAATACTAGCCGCAATATACCACTCCTCTACAGAGAACTTATCTTTAGCTTAATTGGTCGAGCATCTGGCTAGTAACCCATAGGTCTTCCGTTCAATTCCTAAGAGAGGCATTGAAATAATAAATGAAAATGACCTCTGTTACATTGGTGCCCATGTAAGGACTCTGGAATAATACTTGGCATTACTTTCACAAGTATTGTGTAACCCTAGAAACTCATGCGAGTTATTTCCGGAAGGTGGAGTATGCTACCCTTATATGATACTAGCGGCAATATACCACTCGGCTATAGAGAATAGCTCGATCGGTAGAGTGTCTGACTTGTAAACCAGGGGCTCAAGTCGTAGTGGAGAAAATGAAATGAATAATAACCTCCGTTACATGTTTCACGCAAGCTAAAAATGTATTGTGTCAGTTACCTACTGTTCTTTTTATGCTACCTAAGAAAGATACTTCGCTTAAGTCAATTTTAGAGCATGACGAGTTGTCAGGATAAAATCCAGGAAAAAAGTTACTTTTCTCTAGTGTCATAGTTAACATCTGTGAAAGACCTAGGAAAATTCATATTTTTGTTGAGTGCCCCAACAAGGAACTGAACCTGATTCTCTGGCATGATAATCGATCAGATCTATCAATTGAGCCAAAAAAGCATGCTGCATCAGCTGAGTGGAAGACACTGTATATACATGCCACATCAACCTGCTCCTATTACACTACTCCCCCATTTTTCTTGAGACTTCCTAAATCTCAACTCGAGACTCCAAATACCACAAATGGTGGGATTTTGTTGGGCGCCAATGTGAAAGAACAAGAGAAATACACATTCTTGTTGAGTGCCCCAACCAGAAATCAAACCTGGTAATAGACCAGCTCTACCAACTAAGCAAAAGAAGCATGCTCCATCAGCTGAGTGACAGAGACAGTACATAACTCTATAAACAAGCCACAACAACCTGCTCCTGATATCCAGGAGTAGTAGACCTATTTATAAAAATAATGCTATATATACATAATGCTTTTATCATACTGATGAACCTTATTTTCTCCATCAATAAATGGGCACTAGATCGGGGAAGACTTCATTTTCCAACATCACTTCCCATCACCGATTTGTCAGATTTAGAAAATGGAATATATGTGTTACTTATTATTTAAAATGGTATGTTGTCATATTCTGGGTACATTTTTAAATAGATGTTTTGCTTTTAAAACAGCTAAAATTTCCATGGCCTGTCAAAATAAGAGACATTCTAGGCCTACGCAAAAGTTGGCCAACGTAGTCGTATTGGACATATGCTTACAGACTCACTTGACAAAAGATGTTACTAACGCAATAAGTAACCATAAATTATCTCAAATTTAGGTCATGCATTATGTGTCGACCGCGCAATTTATAAATTGAAAAGGCGGCCAAATGCGGAGGCGGGAAGTGTGTCAGCCAGTTAAAGGCATCAAAACGAACAAATCAATCGAACTTAATAGTTCGAATAAAAGAACTGAAACCAATTATTTTCATAAACCCATTATTACTTCAGTCGATCGTTAAGAAACACACTTACTGTCCAAGTAATGTTCAAGATACATAGCAGTCGCCATTTCGGCAGATTTTTTCACATATATCGATATATCACGTGATTAACACATCCATTCTTCGAAGTGTTTGAATCAAGTGTACACAGAATGAATATTTAAACAAACGTCTTTACAACACAGATCAGTTAAGGGTCTATCGCTCTTGTCAAACTATCAAAAAATCTAACATGTATCTTATTTCTAAATGATAACCCTTTTAAATATATAGTCGTTCCATGATTTTCTTATTTAAAAAAAAACTTTTCTATTAATTCAAAATTTAAGAAGAGAATTGTCATGTTTTTGCACAAACATGATGTCTTTAATCACTGTGTACATTATTATTATTATGTTGTTATATATTGTAAGTTTGAATAACCGAAACGCACTAACAGCATTTTTAAAAGTGCAAGCTACTTTCAAAACATGAACAATGCATCACTACCTTTTAGAATTACAACATAAATAGCAATATAAATTGTTGTGGAATATATGAGGAATTGGCACATTGAAAAGCTTTATTGTTCGTTCTGATACGGTCACCGGCATTTTATAAAACCCACATAAACATGGCGGCCCTGCCAAAATTTCATAGTCGGACAGGGTCGCTAGTCACTCTAAGTAACGACGGTCGGACAGCACAGAGAAGCCACCCAACACAAGAATTTAACAACGGTGTTGTTTTGAGTGCAGAATCACTGAAAGATGATCAAGTATTTGAAGTGAAAATAGATAAAAAGGTGAAGTCAGACTGCATTTTTACTATTTTTAATCAAACAAACTAACCCAAACTCATTCAATACTTTAATCGATCTTATATAGGGCAGCTCACCTGTGAATAGGTATCATAACTGTTATTCACATCAGACAGTCATGTTAATTTTAATGTTAGCTAGTCCGAAATATGCTGAGCCTATTCGCTGTGCCGATATCATCAGCTATATGTTTATGACTGGTCAAACTGAATAATGAAAACGATCCAGATGTTCTGATTACTCCAAAACCTAATTCTCAAGAAAGCACAACGCCAGCACGTCCATACTCCTATATAACTTAAGAGTTTGAATAAGTATTTACATAATAAGATGGTCGAATACTTTACCTTTCTGTTGCTCAAACATAGGTTCATCAGCCAGACTAAGGCTTCTTATAGGTATAGGAGTAACATCGTGAGAGTAAAAAATGATAAAAACTGTTCAATCTGAATCACATATTTTATTCTTATTATAGGCAATCTCCATGCACTTGATGAGAAATCTGTATCCCTGATATTCATTTAATTTTGTAGAAGTTGATATCCTGTTTGTACGTGTGTGTATTTGTAAAGGAATACAGCAACTTATCAGAAGTTCTAGTATCTTGTATTCTATAACAAGTAATTACTTTTAAATGTACTCAGATGGTGTGTTTTATTGCAAAAAAAAAAATAAATAAATAAATAAATAAATTTAAAAAAATGTACAATTTGCTGCTACAAAAGTCAGTTTGATCATTTTTCTTGTCTGCTACTTTGAAGAATGATATCAATACACATAATAAGCAAGTAACTGGTTTTACTTGAACACATTGGATAATTATGAATTTGTCCCATTATTTTTAAAGACCACAGTTCAGCCACATGACCTTACTAGTCTTGGCTTGTGGTATTTCTCTTTAGACTAAAGCTAGTTGTATGATAACAGCCTTGAGATTGACAATTAAATACAGATCAAGCCATAGTAGGTGCATTTTTCCTTCCTATTACATATACAATATAACATTGTACACAAGCCTTTTCTCTCTTTTTTACAGGTGAACTCATGGAGTGGTTCAATAGAAATTGGAGTCACCACCTGTGACCCAAATAATCTTAACTTTCCTATAAGTGCTACAGGTTTCCGTGAAGGCACATGGGTAATGTCTGGTAGTTCCATCCTTAAGGATGGTCATTCTGTGATAGAGGAGTATGGAGCAGATCTTGATCAGCTTTCAGAAGGTGACAAGGTTGGGGTGATGAGGACTTCACATGGACTTCTGCACTTTTTTGTTAATGGTACAGACCAAGGAATGGCTGCTGTGGATATAGGACCAGTGGTGTATGCAGTTGTAGATCTATATGGGAAATGTGCTCAAGTATCTATCATTGAAAGTGTGTCCAATGTCAACCAAGAGAATCAACAGAACGGTAATGAAATATCTAGTTTCAGAAAGCTAGTTGGATGTAACTATTTAAGTTGCCACAAGAGAAGATCACATGTATTTGTAACACTCTGTGTAATGTGTGAAATTTGATTTCACGTGCCAAGTATGATTTACTCAATTTTAACTTTAGAATATTGGCGTATAGTGGATTCTACTTATTATGATATTTTTTCCATGTATTGAATGTTCTCTATATAAATCAAGTAAAGAAAGCAGTTATTATGATACAGTTGAACATTATATATAATTTATTGTCTGACACTTGGGCTGTTCCTTGTGACACTAATTATCTGCTAATTATCATGGAGACACCCCTAGGTAGCCAGTCCCACCTTTTTAATTCAGTTTAGGTAAGATTAAACCCTTACATTCAGTAAACAGTGTCAACATTATATATAAAACCATTTATTACTTAAATAAGTCTAACTAGACACTTATGGCACAGACAGTAATTTTATGTTCCAGCATGGCTTATAGGATCAATGCACTCTCCTATTTAACAAGAGTTTTGTTTTTGATAACCAGAAAACATCTGTTCTCTGCAAGAAAATCAGTTTTGCATCTCATGTACTTGTAGATAAACATGGTGTCAGAAGTAGGCTGATGTTCACACCAGTGTCATATTTATTCATGTATAGGGATTCAACATTTTTTTTTCTTTCCTATCAATACACTTACAGAGGATCTAGTGAAAAGATTTATCAAATCAAATTGGAATATTACATAATTTTATTACTTATGAGACATGATAGTCACAACTTTTTATTTGCCGCCGGAGGCGGTCGTATATTGGGGTCATCTTCTCCATCTATACATCCGTATGTCCATTTCTTGTGAATGCAACTCCTCCTAAACTAATCGTCAGATTTTCATGAAACTTGCTCAATGTCACTACTACAATGGGTAGATGCGCATGAAGGGGCAATTTTTTGGTTTGTTGATTTTTGTAAGATTTATGCCATTTTCAACTTTGTATCTGTAGCTAGCTCTTAGTGGAGCTTTGTGAACGCAACGTTGTAAGATTTTTGTAAGAATTATATATTTTGTCAGTGTATATTATGTCCATGGCATTCTTGTTTCACATGGTAAAATGGTATAGACATTTACCAGAGCAAAGCAACAGATTTTTTCAGCAAAATTGACATCATTATGAAATGGTAATGATTAGTCTTTTTCACATAAGCTTAACTGAAAATTGCATTACATTTATCTTCTCTGCCTTCAGTTCAACTTGGTTCTTAAAATCGCAACTAAAAGTGGAAGTATAAATTATTATCTTATCCAAAATCACTGCTGACCAAAAACAAAATATACATCAATTGGCATTTGTAAAAATAATAGTTCATGTTGGTTTTAATTTTTCTAAAAAGCAATTATTCATTGATATTACAATGCTCTTCATCTCTGTCTAAAGTATGTAGTAATAGGTTGTAATGCAGATTTAGATAAACACATAATCTAATTCCATGGTTTGACTATTATGGTTATTTAACTTGCAGTCCTTGTGATTAATAACTTTCTTGGTTATCATAATACTTTAGTCTTGAAAATAGAATATCATAAGTGTGTGTGATGGTTGTAATATTTTCTCATCTGAGGTTACTTTGAAATTAGCAATGCCAAACTATTACTAAAGTACAAAACACTGTTTTGTATCTGTCACAAATCGTTCCATTTGTTTGAGTCAGACAAACAGTAATTTCTAGAACTCAAATAATTGAGATCAGAACTCATGCTTTTCCTGTGGGTCTTAATCAGATTTTGAGAACCTGTTATAATTTTTGCATAGCTTAACTCATAAAATTTTGGAAATGGTGCTCTGGACTTGCATGAAGAAATCCTTCAAAAATTACTGACATACTGTGGGTACCTACTGGGGCCGTCAATCACTCATTATGTGACATATGATTACCTTGTAGCTAACTGCAGATGATCAAGGCGGATGTGGAATTAGTAGAAATAACAACAAATTTTTATATTGTTTATACAAAGAAGTCTTTAAAATGTCTTCAAATGTGTATTTATCTCTTTACAGCTGTTTCAGTGACCAATGATGTTGCTAGTCAGTTAGCCAATGAGTTTTTGACACAATTGTCCAACCAGATAGTGAATGACTTAACAAGAGGTGCTGAGGCCCTTAGCGTTTCTGATGAGAGTGTTGTTCATTCAAATGAAAGATTAACCTTTCATGAACGTTGTGGAAGCCTAGTGAAGTTAAGCAAGAGTCACAGAACAGCTGAGAGGCGGCGACCACTGGACGAGTTCAACAATGGAGTGGTCATGACCAACAGACCACTCAAAAATGATGAAATGTTTGAAGTAAGGAAAATGCAGCATGACTTTTTAATGCATGTCAGAGCTTTATCATAAACATTTTGTAGTATTTTCATTATTTTTTTTTCATTTTGAATTGAACACAACGTCATGCACAATACAGTATGTAAAAAGAAGAAAATTGGTAATGGTCAACACCTTTTATCAGATTCAGTTAAGGATTTGAAGAAGTTGTTCAGATTTGTTGTGAAAGTTCTTTTGAATAACATTTATTTTCAGGAATAAATCATCATTGATTACTTGTAGATACGACTTGACATCTTGGTGGACAAGTGGTCGGGGTCTATAGAAGTCGGCATCACAACACATAACCCATCAACACTAGATTTCCCTGCAACAATGACAAATATGAGATCAGGTATAAATGAATATACTGTAAATACCGTTATCTTTCTGTTGGATTCGGATGGCATCTTTTCTTAACTTTACTGTTAAAACCTTGAGAAGAGGGTTTAAAACAACTGTGGATTTGGACAAAGTTTGATCTTGGTATGACGTAGTCAAGGAAATACCACAATGCTAGAGCTGGGTACCACAAAAAAATAAAGTACTGCAGTATACCGGTAATACCGCTCACCTCTACACAATGCTAAATCTGGGTACCACGAAAAATAAAGTACCGTGGTATACCGGTAATACCGCTCACCTCTACACAATGCGTACCTGGTTCCTCCCTTTACTGTAAACTTTATGAAAAAAACATCCATGAATGGCTACAAGGAGTAGCATTAGTGTATGGACATGTATGTTGATTTTCTCTCTCTGAAACTTTACTTATTAATATATTCATACAAAACATACATGGTAATAAGTGTGTAGATCATTGACATCACAATCTCATTTATCAAACACTCATTGGGAAGATAGACCAGTTCTCTTAATAGGTTTAAGAGAACTGGTTTATCAACAACTCTTGGAACTTAAAAACAGCATACTTAAAAAAAGATATGTTAAGTTTTCACCTCTGAGAAGTTTTTTCATTATGATACATCTATTAATAAGTTGAGAATAACCGAAGACCTTGTGGCTGGCAGAAATGTTTTATATCTTAACAGCCATTTGCTGTTGAACTGAAGACCCACACAACATTTCCACTCCGTTTTGAAACAAATGTCATGTCTAGGCCATACACAGGCTGTCCAGCGTCCCTAAACTTCCTAAAAAATCCTAATTTTTATCAGTTTTGCTAAAATTCCTTAAAAAATGAAAAATCCAAAGGGAATTCCTAAAAAAGCCCTAATTTTTATCAGTTTTGCTAAAATTCCTTAAAAAATGAAAAATCCAAAGGGAATTCCTAAAAAAGCCCTAATTTTTCACTTCAGTTCCTACTTTTCTATATTTCTTACAATTTACTGAAAATGTTTTCATTAAATTCATACTTAAAATGTATTTTAATGTAGTCTGTAGTTCTAATTCAGGGTAGACAATGAAAGGCAGTTGACCAGTGGATCTATGTACCCAGATTGTTATTGGTTGTGACTGAGTGACAGAGATGTGATTCTTAAGGTCACAGCCAACAGCAGCTGGGACACTGAAACCCTGGAAGACACCTTTCCTGCAATTAAGGCATTGTATGTTAGTTTCTATTTTGTCAAATATGCAAGGTAAGTCAGTTTAATGCTTTCATACTCCCTATTCTAGTTACAAAATTCCTAATTTTAGCCCTGAATTTGCCCTAAAATTTTGTAATTTTCAGTCCTAAAATTAGCCCTAATTTTTTGTCAAGAAGTGCTGGGTAGTCTGCATACAGGATAGTATAAACATTTAGTATACTTAAAGGACCTCAACCAATTTTGCTATGAAGCATTCCTTCATTCATTCATGGAATGAGTAGATTGTGTGACTTATGTCCTCTAGCTCTCATCATGTGAAGAGAAAATCAAATTTCAATGTTGACATAATATTACTATTGATATATAGATGAAACACTGGCTATATGAATGCTATTCATCATGTTTATCGAAATTTTGTTTTGGAATCTTCTCCCCCTCCTTGATCCCTGATTAAGAAATCTAACTACTTTGATGGACAAGAGTGGAGGTTGCCTTCTATGGCCACTGATTGGTGGAAATGAGGAGTTTGACATTACAAGAGTTTGACACAGTGTTTCCTCTACATTTTAGGAATGATTGAAATATTTTAACCATCAATTTTAAGCCTTCTTTATATGCCATAATTTAAATACATACACAGATGTACTTGTGTCAACTACTTGTTTACAGAGTTGTAATTTTACAAGTTTTTTAAACATATAATTGCAAATTTTGTTTGATCATACAAAGGAATTAAGCATTGTGATATTCATCTTTTTTTGAAGGTACAATAATGATGAGTGGCTGCGGGATACTGACCAATGGGAAAGGTACACGGAGAGAGTATGGTCAATACAACCTAGATGAACTAGAGGTTAGTTTTCTGAATCTCTGAGACTTGGAAGGATTTTTATTTTTATTTTTAAAGATTTATGCCCCTAGGGAGCTTAAGTAAGAGAAGATATTGTATGATTCCACATTTATCAAACAGGGATCACCCAGACAATTAAAGTAGTCACACAGTGATACATACCGTAAACATTTTTTGTAAAATTTACTTGCATATTTTCCCTTTATTTACAGATTATCTCCCCTTGAGATACATAGGCTAATGGTAGCAATACAAGACAATTATAATGCTTCTTGTGCTATATTTATTGAGAATCAGTTCCAGCTTATAAAAGTAGAACAGTAAAACTTTGTCATGTTTTTTTGTAAAACATGTCGGAAGTTTTCTTGAAAAAGGTTTTTCTCAATACACTTATAGTCTTAAATGTAGCATGACAGTTTGGCAGGAATGCCAAATGCCAAAAATTCACTAATGTTGAACAACATGACCCTGTCATTTATTTTTTGATTTATTCATCATGTGTTGTAAGTAAATTATATGCAAATATATGTATATTTTGATAATGCAAAAAAAAAAAAAAAAACTATCAGATTTAATTTCTTCAAAAATGAATCTAGCAAGGAGACAGAATTGGGTTGATGAGAAAATCAAACGGTCATCTCCACTATTACATCAATGGTCAAGACCAGGGGGTGGCCTCAACTGAAGCTCCAGTCACAATCTGGGGTGTGGTTGACCTGTATGGTATGGCTGTGAAGGTAACCATACTGGACCGGAATGATCCTAACTATCCCAACACTTTACCTGTGGCTGCGCCACGCAACACCAATGTGTTCAGACAATACCCAGACATGTATGATGATGAACAGGAGGGTAAGAGGATCTACTAGTAACTTTGTTTTATTTGATACTACACTCAATTGGAATTTAATCTCTTGTGGATCATTCTCGAAGCTACAATCTGTGAGAAAAATTGATGTTTGTTTCCGTGTGATTTAAGCTACAATCTGTGAGAAAAATTGATGTTTGTTACCGTGTGATTTAAGCTACAATCTGTGAGAAAAATTGATGTTTGTTACCGTGTGATTTAAGCTACAATCTGTGAGAAAAATTGATGTTTGTTACCGTGTGATTTAAGCTACAATCTGTGAGAAAAATTGATGTTTGTTACCGTGTGATTTAAGCTACAATCTGTGAGAAAAATTGATGTTTGTTACCGTGTGATTTATAATTGATTATATATTAGCCATTGTCTCTAATATACTTTTATGTTGTGGTTTCATTAAATTTAAGGTATTTCTTCTTCCAATTGGAAGTATCTTTTTGTAGACAAAGTTTTGTTTGTACATGAATGATACTAATTGTTGATGGGTTGTTAATTGATACAGATTAAGTGTTAATGAATGTCAGTGGAACATATATGGGATATAAACAGGAGTAGATGGAAAGGTGATGGTTCATAGTTCTTGTCATCATACTAAAACAGTGATATTTCATTTCCAGCACATTTTAATGGGTTCTTGGGTCCAGGAGTTGATTTTAAAAAGTTTAAAGATATTTTTTATAACAAATGAAATTTAATAAGGGAAATCTATTTGTTTGATAAAATTTCTGAGAAATTAAACCATTGTCATCCATTTTTTTAAATCACAGTTGAGGAAGAGGGATGTGTGGAGAAACTTCTTTTCCATCCACACTGTGGCTCTCATGCAGCAGTCATTAGTGGACAGAAGACAGCCCATAGACCTAAGTAAGTTCTGTTACTCCCCATAGACCTAAGTAAGTTCTTTTACAACCCATAGACCTAAGTAAGTTCTGTTATAGCCCATAGACCTAAGTAAGTTCTGTTACTCCCCATAGACCTAAGTAAGTTCTGTTACTCCCCATAGACCTAAGTAAGTTCTGTTATAGCCCATAGACCTAAGTAAGTTCTGTTACTCCCCATAGACCTAAGTAAGTTCTGTTACTCCCCATAGACCTAAGTAAGTTCTGTTATAGCCCATAGACCTAAGTAAGTTCTGTTACTCCCCATAGACCTAAGTAAGTTCTGTTACTCCCCATAGACCTAAGTAAGTTCTGTTACTCCCCATAGACCTAAGTAAGTTCTGTTATAGCCCATAGACCTAAGTAAGTTCTGTTACTTCCCATAGACCTAAGTAAGTTCTTTTACAACCCATAGACCTAAGTAAGTTCTGTTATAGCCCATAGACCTAAGTAAGTTCTGTTACACCCCATAGACCTAACTAAGTTCTGCTACTCCCCATAGACCTAAGTAAGTTCTGTTATAGTCCATAGACCTAAGTAAGTTCTGTTACTCCCCATAGACCTAAATAAGTTCTGTTATAGCCCATAGACCTAAGTAAGTTCTGTTACACCCCATAGACTTAAGTAAGTTCTGTTATAGCCCATAGACCTAAGTAAGTTCTGTTACTCCCCATAGACCTAAGTAAGTTCTATTACACCCAATGGACCTAAGTAAGTTCTGTAATAACAATTGAAGACTGGGACAAGATTTAAATTTGAAGTTTAGGATATTTATTGTGTGAAATATAAACAATGTTTGACATAAACTGGAGGATGAAAAATACTGATACTGATAATCTAACTTTGTACACAGTGCCTTAGATGATTTTAACAATGGCGTTGTCCTGACAAGTAGACACCTGAGGCCAGAGGAACTGTTTGAAGTGCGGATAGACAGAATGATTGACAAGTGGGCAGGGTCAATAGAAATAGGTGTAACTTTGCACTCTCCACATGACCTTGACTTTCCCTCTACAATGACAAACATCAGATCTGGTACATGGATGATGACGGGGAACGGTGTGATGCACAATGGAACCACGATCATTGATGAGTACGGACAAAATTTAGATAGACTCAAGGTAGGAAGATATTTTAATGATTTACAATTAATTATCAGATATCAAAAAGTATACTATCTTTAGAAATAAATTTTTACAAGTAATATATTTTCTCTGTTACCTTTTTCTTGAAATAAATTAACAAAATTGTAAAGATCAAAAACCTAGGTATTTTTGAAAAGTTATTCTTGCTCAAAATTCTGAAAGTTATCATAAAAGAATTGTAATGGAGTAAGATATTGTATGATATTTTTTTCCTCAAAGTGAACTGGAAAAAATTAAGACGTGTACATCAAATACTTAATTTTCAACAAGTATACTGAATATACATTTCACTGACAGAAACATTGAAATAGATAATGTTATGTATTGGAAAAATCATATTTAAGTGTCTTATCATACTGTATCATAACATTTTAGAAATACAATATTAATATAATATTGTAATATGATGAAATTATCTTTTGTCATAATGAAGATTTAGTGATGCATGTAAGTCATCATTTATAATAGGCATTATTCACAAATATAAGAATTGAAAAGATTGTGAGAGATACTATTATGTGTTAATTAATATTTGCTGGACATGCAGACAGGAGACCGTGTGGGTGTAAGGAGGAAGACAGATGGAACACTCCACTTCTATGTTAACGGTATAGACCAGGGACAAGCTGCCTCCAATGTCCCAGAGTTTGTGTACGGGGTCATTGATCTTTATGGACAGGCTGCCCAGGCTACAGTAGTCGATCATTCAGGTATTAACTCAAGCAGTCTGGACACTTTAAGGTTGCCCAGGCTATTGTAGTCGATCATTCAGGTATTAACTCAAGCAGTCTGGACACTTTAAGGTTGCCCAGGCTATTGTAGTCGATCATTCAGGTATTAACTCGAGCAGTCTGGACACTTTAAGGTTGCCCAGGCTATTGTAGTCGATCATTCAGGTATTAACTCGAGCAGTCTGGACACTTTAAGGTTGCCCAGGCTACAGTAGTTGATCATTCAGGTACTAACTTGAGCAGTCTGGACACAATAAGGTTGCCCAGACTACAGTAGTCGATCATTCAGGTACTAACTCCAGCAGTCTGGACACTTTAAGGTTGCCCAGGCTACAGTAGTCGATCATTCAGGTACTAACTCCAGCAGTCTGGACACTTTAAGGTTGCCCAGGCTATAGTAGTCGATCATTCAGGTAATAACTCCAGCAGTCTGGACACTGTAAGGTTGCCCAGGCTACAGTAGTCGATCATTCAGGTACTAACTCGAGCAGTCTGGAAACAATAAGGTTGCCCAGACTACAGAAGTCGATCATTCAGGTACTAACTCCAGCAGTCTGGACACTTTTAGGTTGCCCAGACTACAGTAGTTGATCATTCAGGTACTAACTCCAGCAGTCTGGACACTTTAAGGTTGCCCAGGCTATAGTAGTCGATCATTCAGGTACTTACTCCAGCAGTCTGGACACTTTAAGGTTGCCCAGGCTACAGTAGTCGATCATTCAGGTACTAACTCGAGCAATCTGGACACAATAATGTTGCCCAGACTACAGTAGTCGATCATTCAGGTACTAACTCCAGCAGTCTGGACACTTTTAGGTTGCCCAGGCTACTGTAGTCGATCATTCAGGTACTAACTCCAGCAGTCTGGACACTTTTAGGTTGCCCAGACTACTGTAGTCGATCATTCAGGTACTAACTCCAGCAGTCTGGACACTTTAAGTTGCCCAGGCTATAGTAGTCGATCATTCAGGTACTAACTCCAGCAGTCTGGACACTTTTAGGTTGCCCAGGCTACTGTAGTCGATCATTCAGGTACAAACTCGAGAGCAGTCTGGACACTTTAAGGTTGCCCAGACTACAGTAGTCGATCATTCAGGTACTAACTCGAGCAATCTGGACACTTTTAGGTTGCCCAGACTACTGTAGTCGATCATTCAGGTACTAACTCCAGCAGTCTAGACACTTTAAGGTTGCCCAGGCTATAGTAGTCGATCATTCAGGTACTAACTCCAGCAGTCTGGACACTTTTAGGTTGCCCAGGCTACTGTAGTCGATCATTCAGGTACTAACTCGAGAGCAGTCTGGACACTTTAAGGTTGCCCAGACTACAGTAGTCGATCATTCAGGTACTAACTCCAGCAGTCTGGACACATTAAGGTTGCCCAGGCTACAGTAGTCGATCATTCAAGTACTAACTCGAGAGCAGTCTGGACACTTTAAGGTTGCCCAGGCTACAGTAGTCGATCATTCAGGTACTAACTCGAGCAGTCTGGACACTAAGGTTGCCCAGGCTACAGTAGTCAACCATTCAGGTACTAACTCGAGCAGTCTGGACACTAAGGTTGCCCAGGCTAAAAAAGTCAATCACTCAATTAATAACTGGAATCTTTGTTCAATATGATTTTACTGTCCTTTCTGTATGAACTTTGAAAAACATGGCTCAATATGTGTGTGTATTTGTTACTTTTCCCCACAGAAAACATTGTTTCAATGTTATTTAATTTTGAAAATGCATACATATATACAGATCAGTTTTATTTGCAATGGAAAAATTATGCCATTGCCTTTTGTAATTCTCAAGTCCAAATTTGAACCCTATGTTGTCATTGGCAGAACACATGATCATTATGTCAAGATATCATAAATCTTTACAAAATAGATGTCTACAATTATCCATGTCATCAGACTTTTCATTTCTTTTTTTTATTAGTCAATAGATTTATTCAAATACTAAATCAAAGATGGCATTTGGATGTGGATTTATTCAAAGGAAAGAGCTTTTTCCAATATGATTTGATTAGAATCAGTAGTTATGACAGTCATTTGTCTTTACCCATAGCATTACCAAGGAAACAAGGAAGTTGTAATTATACACTAATACATGTACACAATTATAGAATTAAAATCATTATATTTAGTCCAGTAACTCCAGAGATTTACATCCAATGATTAAATGATACTGATATGCTATTACAGAATCACTGTCTTCACCTGATGCAGATTCAAGCTGTGCCCTGGAGACAGAGGAACTTAAATTTCACACCATGCATGGTCAGAATGCCATTGTATTAAATAATGGCCGAACAGCAGCTCGGCCCAATGCTACAGGAGAGTTTAATGATGCCATAATCATGAGTAACCGCCCACTGAAAGATAACGAACTGTTTGAAGTCATCATAGAGAAAATGGTGGATAGATGGTCAGGCTCAATAGAAGCAGGTAAGTAGACTTTATAAAAGCTGGTAGGTTGATAAGTTTATAGGCTTTATAGAAACTGGTAGGTTGATGAGTTTATAGGATTTATAGAAGCTGGTAGGCTGATAAGTTTATAGGATTTATAGAAGCTGGTAGGCTGATAAGTTTATAGGCTTTATAGAAGCTGGTAGGTTGATAAGTTTATAGGCTTTATAGAAGCTGGTAGGTTGATAAGTTTATAGGATTTATAGAAGCTGGTAGGTTGATAAGTTTATAGGCTTTATAGAAGCTGGTAGGCTTTTAAGTTTATACGCTTTATAGAAGCTGGTAGCTGATTATTTTTTAGGCTTTATATAAGTTTGTATGTAGAAAATTTTATAGACTGTTTAGAAGCAAGTATATGATTTTAAGAAGCTAATAGCTTGGTAGCTGGTCAGTATCAAGGAAAGTGAATGCATAGATGAATTTGCTGACTCTCATCTTAATCATATTTGAAAAGAATTTGCATTACCAGTAATTCTAAAGTAATGATAATGTTTTATTGCACAATTTATAGAATCAAAGTTATTTTCCAATTTCTTGATGGAAATAATTCAAAATTTCTCCACTTTTTCATTACAACCTTTGTCATATTGGTATTCATTATTCAATGTTTCCAGGTGTGACCCTTATTAAGGCAGAAGATTTGGACTTCCCGAATACAATGACAGATATTGAGTACGATACCTGGATACTGAGGTAATACTTTAGAATACAGTGAGATATTGAGGATGATACCTGGATACTGAGGTAATACTTTAGAATACAGTGAGATATTGAGGATGATACCTTTATAGTTTGGTAATACTTTAGGATACAGTGAGATATTGAGGATGATACCTGGATACTGAGGTAATACTTTAGAATACAGTGAGATATTGAGGATGATACCTGGATACTGAGGTAATACTTTAGAATACAGTGAGATATTGAGGACGATACCTTTATAGTTTGGTAATACTTTAGGATACAGTGAGATATTGAGGATAATACTTTACTTTAGAATACAGTGAGATATTGAGGATGATACTTGGATACTGAGGTAATACTTTAGAATACAGTGAGATATTGAGGACAATACCTGGATACTGAGGTAATACTTTAGAATACAGTGAGATACTGGATACTTTGATATCAATCATCACATCTTGAGAGTAAGATAAAAGATTATCTAAGCATAAAGAACATTTGTGTTTAGAAAAACATTCCACTACTTCCCCATGATACCCTCTTGATATATTTTATATGGTGTACAAAATGAAGATAGAGAGCCGTTTGCTAAAGAGTTCTGAGACACAGGTAAACCAATTGAAACCAGTACAACGATAACACAGTATTTACTATATATACTGTTCAAAACATAATCTTAATACACACTGTAATTCAATCCCTCGACCGTCCTAAATGCTTATTTACATGGCTTCGCTTCAGTGGCTCTGCCATTATGCAGGATGGCTCCACAATCCGAAATGGGTACCCACTTGACCTTGATGTCATGTCGGTAGGCTGTCGTATTGGGATGATGAGGTGTTGTGATGGCACTCTACACTACTATTTCAATGGCATGGACCAGGGCGTGGCATGCTCTGATGTTCCACCAGGTTGGTTACCTTCCTTCATGCTTCACTTCATATTTATTTTTCTTCAGTAATGATGTGTATCAGTGGTTGGTCCAAACTCAAACCTAAATGTCCAGATCTAACATTCCTACTTATATTTTGCTATCTCAATGGAATATGTACAGTTTTCATTAAAGTGATCCTTATCTTGGAATGTTTTCTCTTCGTTGTTAAATGTAATAGATGTTCTTATGTCATTCTCAGTTTTATTTTCTAACTGGTTATGATATAAGAACATCTGTTCTTTAAACTAATAAATGAGTTGCTTACTCCAACAGGTGTGTCCGCTGTGATTGACCTGTACGGTCAGTGTGCTCAGGTGTCAATAACCAGTGGCTCTGGTATACTACCGACAGACAATAATGTCCTTCATACAGAGATGGTACAGTCAGCTGCTTCACCTGTAAACACAGGTAAAAATATAAGAATATAATAATGCTCTTTACTTGTAAATACATGTAATAATATAATGTAATCGGCAGTTAGTAATATACCTGTAATCAGACGTAAAATTTTGTGTAGCTTCAAGTCAGTAACTCACCTGTAATCACAGGTAAAAATTTTGTTTAACCTGCTGTCTGTGTTTAAAAATATGCAGGTATATACATGATTAACAACCATAACTTTACATTGAAAATTTGAGAAACTGGGTTGTCAGCATAAACATACACCAGGGCCGTTTTCGTTTCAATAAGGTAGATAGTGGACCTTGCAGAATCACAATTTCAAACCAAGGGAGATAATACTCTCTGTGGCGGAACAGGTAACTATGTAATTAGCCACTTGATGGTTTGATTAGTACCCCATGATAGTGTTACCTGCTTATCTTCTTTAATTGTCTAAACCCTCATCTTGATGACTATAAGCGTACACATGTATTTTAAGTACAACTTCTTACTTGTTGCATTTTTTAGTACCCTCTTTGTAACATGACATTTACAGACCCAGGGAAATAACACTCTTTGTAGCATCCCACTGTCACACCCAGGATACTTGTGTGTACATTTACAGACCCAGGGAAATAACACTCTTTGTAGCATCCCACTGTCACACCCAGGATACTTGTGTGTAATATCATATTTACAGACCCAGGGAAATAACACTCTTTGTAGCATCCCACTGTCACACCCAGGATACTTGTGTGTAATATCATATTTACAGACCCAGGAAGATAGCTCCTTCTGTGACATCACACTCATAGACCCAGGGAGATAGCTCCTTCTGTGACATCACACTCATAGACCCAGGGAGATAGCTCCTTCTGTGACATCACACTCATAGACCCAGGGAGATAGCTCCTTCTGTGACATCACACTCATAGACCCAGGGAGATAGCTCCTTCTGTGACATCACACTCATAGACCCAGGGAGATAGCTCCTTCTGTGACATCACACTCATAGACCCAGGAAGATAGCTCCTTCTGTGACATCACACTCATAGACCCAGGGAGATAGCTCCTTCTGTGACATCACACTCATAGACCCAGGGAGATAGCTCCTTCTGTGACATCACACTCATAGACCCAGGGAGATAGCTCCTTCTGTGACATCACACTCATAGACCCAGGAAGATAGCTCCTTCTGTGACATCACACTCATAGACCCAGGGAGATAGCTCCTTCTGTGACATCACACTCATAGACCCAGGGAGATAGCTCCTTCTGTGACATCACACTCATAGACCCAGGGAGATAGCTCCTTCTGTGACATCACACTCATAGACCCAGGGAGATAGCTCCTTCTGTGACATCACACTCATAGACCCAGGGAGATAGCTACATCACACTCATAGACCCAGGGAGATAGCTCCTTCTGTGACATCACACTCATAGACCCAGGGAGATAGCTCCTTCTGTGACATCACACTCATAGACCCAGGGAGATAGCTCCTTCTGTGACATCACACTCATAGACCCAGGGAGATACTATACTCTATAGCATTAATCTCTGAGGCTCTTACAGACTTGAGATTTATGGAGACAGTTAATCTACAGCATCACACCCTCAGACCTAAATAGATAGTACCCTCTGAAGCATCCCTCCCTCTCTCACCGATGTGCCCTGTTGACCTGACAGACATATAGACCCCATCACTGCATGTTGGAATATCATTGATCCAGTTTTATTGGTGTCCACAGATGTCACCCATAGGTTCAGTCAATGTTGTGGAAAAAACATTACCATAAAAAATAACGGGGCTATGGCCTGCAGAGCCCGTAACTTCCAACACGGTCTCATCTTTAGTTCGGATCCACTGAGACGGGACGAGCTATTTGAAGTAAGTTGACCTTTACGGAGTATGATGAAACCTGTTTTTATAAGTGGTACAACAGTCAGGAGGACCTTTGTCAGTTTTAGTTATTTACTGTTATAAGTGGTACAACAGTCAGGAGGACCTTTGTCAGTTTTAGTTATTTACTGTTATAAGTGGTACAACAGTCAGGAGGACCTTTGTCAGTTTTAGTTATTTACTGTTATAAGTGGTACAACAGTCAGGAGGACCTTTGTCAGTTTTAGTTATTTACTGTTATAAGTGGTACAACAGTCAGGAGGACCTTTGTCAGTTTTAGTTATTTACTGTTATAAGTGGTACAACAGTCAGGAGGACCTTTGTCAGTTTTAGTTATTTACTGTTATAAGTGGTACAACAGTCAGGAGGACCTTTGTCAGTTTTAGTTATTTACTGTTATAAGTGGTACAACAGTCAGGAGGACCTTTGTCAGTTTTAGTTATTTACTGTTATAAGTGGTACAACAGTCAGGAGGACCTTTGTCAGTTTTAGTTATTTACTGTTATAAGTGGTACAACAGTCAGGAGGACCTTTGTCAGTTTTAGTTATTTACTGTTATAAGTGGTACAACAGTCAGGAGGACCTTTGTCAGTTTTAGTTATTTACTGTTATAAGTGGTACAACAGTCAGGAGGACCTTTGTCAGTTTTAGTTATTTACTGTTATAAGTGGTACAACAGTCAGGAGGACCTTTGTCAGTTTTAGTTATTTACTGTTATAAGTGGTACAACAGTCAGGAGGACCTTTGTCAGTTTTAGTTATTTACTGTTATAAGTGGTACAACAGTCAGGAGGACCTTTGTCAGTTTTAGTTATTTACTGTTATAAGTGGTACAACAGTCAGGAGGACCTTTGTCAGTTTTAGTTATTTACTGTTATAAGTGGTACAACAGTCAGGAGGACCTTTGTCAGTTTTAGTTATTTACTGTTATAAGTGGTACAACAGTCAGGAGGACCTTTGTCAGTTTTAGTTATTTACTGTTATAAGTGGTACAACAGTCAGGAGGACCTTTGTCAGTTTTAGTTATTTACTGTTATAAGTGGTACAACAGTCAGGAGGACCTTTGTCAGTTTTAGTTATTTACTGTTATAAGTGGTACAACAGTCAGGAGGACCTTTGTCAGTTTTAGTTATTTACTGTTATAAGTGGTACAACAGTCAGGAGGACCTTTGTCAGTTTTAGTTATTTACTGTTATAAGTGGTACAACAGTCAGGAGGACCTTTGTCAGTTTTAGTTATTTACTGTTATAAGTGGTACAACAGTCAGGAGGACCTTTGTCAGTTTTAGTTATTTACTGTTATAAGTGGTACAACAGTCAGGAGGACCTTTGTCAGTTTTAGTTATTTACTGTTAATCCTAATTTTTTTACATTTGTTCAATTTTGTTATGATTTATCTATCTCAAGGTTTATTTAAACACAATATTGAAATGAAGATTAAAAAATGAAATTTGTCTTGTTGACCAAATTTGAGAAAAAGCAATTTTTACATTATGAAGACTTTACAGTAAGCAACACATCAATATACCATAACATGACTACAATGTACCTGACGAGCATGTGTGATGTTTGTTTAGTAAATGTTTAATCAAGCTGTCAGGTTCATAGACTTATGGAAATTGATATACATGTCTTGGATCTTACTTTGCATTTTGTTAAGATCACACCAAGAGTGAGACAAGAGAGGCAAAAATGATATAGGTAATTCTTGTATGTCCTTTTACACAGATAAAAGTGGAACAGTTGTCAAAGGTATGGTCTGGGTCACTTCACATTGGACTGACCACTCTAGCCATCTCGGACTCCACACCCATCTCGTCTATACCTTCATCTGCACTGGCCTTAACCACAAAACTTACTTGGATTGTCACAAGTTCAGAGGTCAGGAAATCGGGCATTGTCATCAAGGAAAACTATGCCCCATCATTAGAACGTTTGGAGGTGAGGCATTGTAAATCGTATGTTTTTTATGGATTTGATATTTCTCAGATTCATTCACTTGAGTTTATAGAAAAACAGACAGCAAGTGAAAAGATTGAGATTGAAAAATCAGAAAATATTGAAAATAATGATTTTCATTCCACGGAAATCACTAATACTGTGAATATACTAAATGTTAGAAAAGTGTTGTTTATTTTTTGTAATTTATTATGTATTAGATATGTTTTTGTTATTGTTTCGTAGGTTGGTGACAAGGTTGGTGTAAAGAGATGTCGGGACGGTACTATGCATATACTTCTGAATGGGGAGGACTTAGGAGTGGCAGCCTCCAACATACAAAAGGTATACAGTCCCAAACATGAAATAGATAAATAAACTCTAACTTACTAGGTGGAAATAGTCTCAGATAAACCAAAGGATAACTGTCTTAGATAAATCTGTTACAAAAGGTTAGCAGCTTCAAATATACAGAGGTTAGAATTATAAACATCCAAAATGTTCTAAACCTAATATATATAAAAGGACAGCAGTTTAAAATACACTGAAGTTTAGGAGTCTTGAATATTCAAAATGTCAGCAGCTGTAGACGTACTGTAGAATATAGCGGCCTTACATATACAGGTTAGCAGCTCTAAATATACAAAGGGATTGTGGTCTTAGATAAATGAAAGGGGAACAGTCGTGAATATACAAAAGATTAGCAGCTTCAAAAATATTCAAGGTTAATAGTCTCAAATATGAAAAGTGTTTATAAACTTGATGTGTCAATGCATCAGTCATGACCATGACTTTGATCCTGTGGAAGAATTCTATGAAATAACTTTGGTTTACAGAATGTTTTTGCTGTGATTGATCTGTTTGGTGTTGTGGAGACAGTTTCTGTTACCAGTAGTGCCTCGACAGACAATCTCATGATGCTCAGTCAGCAGTCACAAAGTGTCGTGTCAGACTTAACAGATAACAATGAGGTAAACAAATACAAAACAATGAGTTAAGCATGAAATACATGACATGTTTATTCTGCAATAAGCCCAGAGTTTAATAAATAACCATTGATTCAGTGTTAGATTTCACCCTTGTCAAAGAACAAAAGTCCAGGAGACCTGTACATTAGCTCTGATTCAAAAGTAGGGGTCACCCTTATCACAGGACAATAAGTGCAGGAGACCTGTACATTAGCTCTGATTCAAAAATAAATATAGAAGTATGCATATTTTTTGTAACATACAGGATGTAAGTATGTGGTAGATTGTAATTGAGAGAGATGTAATATAACAGTATATTACTAGTTATCGTCAGTTGGTTGTTGTTTTACATTTCAGACTGAACGGGACCAAGACCAGGACACTAACACATCTTGCTGTTTTGAATTCCACTGTAACCATGGTAAAAATGTTCTCCTTAGCAACAACAACCTGACAGCCCGGCGGACAGCCAGCTATAACCAGGGAATCCTGATATCTAGTCGACCACTACAACGCAACAAACTCTTCCAGGCAAGTATCTAATTCATACAATACTCAACCACAGGAGTTCAAGACATATTATAGAGTAATTGATGTGTGTTGACTAGGCAATACTCAACCGCAGGAGTTCAATACATATTATACAGTGATTGATGTGTGTAGACTACACAGATGCTGGATAAGAAAGCTTACTTTGTACAGGCCTGTTAAGTACCTGTCAATATAAGTGTAGTATTTACTGGATAAGAAGCCTCTTTACTTACTGTTCGATTGACATCTTGATAATCTGCCTTCTGTTGTCTGTTATATGAACAATCTTATGGATCAAATAAAAAAAACTTTACTCTGCAGTCTATATACTGGTGTGACTTATAACCGGGAAAATACAGTAACCTATTGAAATAATTTGTCTATTTTACAAACATGTTTGAAGAAATAAAAATACACTGAGCTCTCTTTATGTTATCAATATTTGACAATAATTTGAATTTCCTAGTTTAATGATTTTACATATTCAGATCAGGTCTAATGCAGACTTACACAATATTGATATCTTGTTGTAAATTCAATATACTTGCATTCATGATAAGATTTTTTTTCTAGTTCTGTGTAAGAAATGATGACTTCTAAATAAATTTATCAGAACTATTGAAGATGACATTAATGTAGCTGTTATAATCTGATAATGATTGCAGTGTTTATTCAATGCTGAAATCTTTTTTTTTTAATTCCAATAGGCTAAACAAAAATCAAAACAAAACAAAAACAAAAAAAAGAAAGAAGCCTTTCAAAATCATTTGATGTAAATGTGATAATGTAATATCACTCATCCACTAAAGCCCCTTCACAAGGAACAAAGATAAACTAGTTTTATGATCTATGATATAGTGACAGGGTCATGGTAAAATAGGAAAAATCCACTAGCGTGAAGGCAATCACGATACTACTAATTTAAAACAATTCTGTTCTTTGCTCCATTTCACATTTTCTTTACTTTCTTATTCCTTTGTACTACATTTCATTGTTGACATTATACTCTGAACATGTTACCGCTATCAGGATGTTACTTTGGTCTTATTTGTTCCTTACACTCGTCCATCATAGTCCTGCATCAGTCTAGTGATGATCAAGCATTGTGAGCCCAGTGTCTTTGTTACAACAGCTACTGATGCTCTTCAAATTCCTGGTATGATGTAGCCACAGTCATCAAACACTGGCATCTCTACCATATTTATACTCTAAAAATATTTTATAGATATGAGAACTGGTCCGTGTCTGTCTAGTCATCCAACTACTGAACTGAACATTAGGGAAAGTAAGTTTATGGGATAAGGCTGTCTAATTATCCATCCTAAATTGAACTTTGGGGTATGTGTCTGTCTAGTCATCCAACTACTGAACTGAACATTAGGGAAAGTATGTTTATTGGATAAGTCTGTCTAATCATCCATCTCCTGAATTGAACTATGGGTAGGTATGTTTCTGTCCAGTCATCCAAATACTAAACTTAACAATAGGGAAAGTATGTTTATTGGATAAGTCTGTCTAATCATCCAACTCCTGAATTGAACTATGGGTAGGAATGTGTCTGTCTAGTCATCCAATTACTGAAATGAACTGTATTATACTAGGTACATGTGCTTTCAAATATGACAACTTTCTTTCCAGCTCTTTGCAGTTAGTTATTCCACTGAAGTAAGAATCTTGCCTACATTTAGAAATGTTAATTTGACTTCTACATAATTAGAAATATGATGCCACCTTTAATTTGTCCTGATTTCAGATCCTATTGACATGAAAAGGAACAATGAAATTAAAATCTGATTTTGTCACAGGTGCGTTTGAATAGCCTGAACTCCAAGTGGAGTGCTTCACTGATGATAGGAATACTTGGCTTCTCACCTGAGCGATACAACTTACCTGTATCAGCAATCTGTATTAAAAAATCCTGTATGATCATCCAGGGAGACTCAGTCTACAACTGTGGCTGTAAGGTAGGGTATTTATATACAAGGAAGGATCTAAGGTAGGGTGTTACCAATAGAGAAGTGTTTTAGACTTGTTCATACACAGGAATTATATAAAGGAATTCTGAAGCAATAAATGTAATGCTAAGTGTTTAAATTTCTCAGATGTTGGATGGAATTCACAATATACATAGGATCTTGCATGATTTTCCATTTGTTTTGTGAATTTATGAAGTAAGCCTTCAGAATTTTTCATCTTAGTGAGTCTGTGGCGTGCTTAATCAATAACAAAACAGTGATAAGTTTGTAAATCACAAAGAAATTAAAACAAATTTAAGGTCCTTTATATCACAAAATTGATATTTAAGAAACATGTTAGAAAACTGACAATTATTTGTCAAACTTGAAGTCACGTCCGCTCAGTGTCTATCGTCTCCACTGTTACCCACAATGCCATCTGTGAATCTGTAACATCGTTTCATTAGCTAAAGTGAAATTACAAAAAGCTCATTAAACAAAATGGAATTTGCAGTAATATGACGTCAGTGCATTTAGTGAATAACAAGGAAAGCATGTAATGAAATAAGTGTTTTCTGTTCAAGATGAAGGAGCATTATGGTCCCAACATCGACCAGTTACAATCAGGCCACTGTGTAGGAGTGTTAGTGGATGAAGAGGCGTGTCTTCACCTTTACGTCAATGGGGTAGACCAGGGTGTGGCAGCTCGTGATGTCCCTAACCCTTGTCATGCTCTGGTGGACCTGTACGGCCAGTGTCAGGAGGTAGTACCATAGATTACTATAAGTATTATATAATCTACTCTTGGGAGGTATGCCGAAGTACACCAACACTTCATTACAGTGTGTGTGTCAAAGTTAAAATCAAATTCAAAGTCCAAACTGTTATACTTGCCTCAGATTTCTTCTAATTTAGGTGAAGTGTTGATGAAATGGTCAAATTTATCACTAAAAGGACTTTACTCTGCATTAAATGAATTGGGGAAGGCATTTGCAAAACATTGAAAAGACGTTATTCATCTATTGTTGGTGAGCATAGAATCATTAGATGACTATGGAGTAATAGAGGGACTGTTAAGATAGTCTATAGCCCACAATTCTTGTTAAACTCAGTTCTTTATTTTCTCAATGTAAATGTTACATTGGTCAAGAGTTGGTGAATATTTGTAGTCATAAGATTTCAAAATGTAGATAATTTCATTTAAAATCATTTATATTTTGTGTAAGGTATTTGAAATAATGAAATGCAATCACACTCATGTTTTCATTGGACAGTGTAACTTCTCTCATGGGTAAAGGCACATTTCTGGTCTCTGGTTGAAAGGTTTTAGTGAATCATAGCCATCAGACATGCTTTTAAACTTACTTGACATATTAAATAGAATTCCAATTCAAGCTGCTTTCACAGAAAGAAAGGACTTATCAAATGGCCTTGCTCTTTGTAATTGCTTTGCAAATCTATCAACAATGATAATATTTATTGAGAATTTTTACTGTTGGTACAGATCACGGTGGTAACAGAAGACACAAGTGTCTCATCGCTGGTTAGTACCGTAGACGAGAGAGAAAAAGCTGATATAGATGATGGTGAGTTAATGAAATGTTAATGAAAACAGAAAGGACCTGATTAGTCAGACTAATTTAGCCAAATTTAGAGAAAGTTGTTCTATATACAAAATGCTTTTAAACTAATATCAATGCAAAACTGACCATCTGTTGATGTTATTACATTCAGTTGTGAAGGAGAAGCTTCATCGTGTGAGCAGTGATGTAAATGTCAACAGAAACTGTGAATACCAGAACATCTGTGCCAGGATCAAATCTCAACTAGGACTGCCAGGTAATAGTCCCAGATTATATACCTATATCTATAGTGGAAGAGTTGTGTAAATCCAAGAGGTGTCATGTGTCATGGTTTTTACAATGGTAGGATAATTTAGTTTTTCATTTCTTCATAGACATCAGCTACTATAAAGGGACTAGGACACCTAATAAAGGCCCAGGTTGTTTATAGGCCAATAAACCCATCAACCAAACAGTTAGTTCAGTATGAAGAACATTTCACTAAATATTTTACATCTTTTCTTCTGACATTCTCTGTGGTTTTTTTATTATTGCATCTAGATGTGATGGAAGATGTTTTCTTTAAAAAAACAAAATTCTTGTCTTTGCAGCAGTTAATCTGGAATAGTGTAACAAAGTTGTATACTTCACTACAACCTTATCATGAATTGTTTATTTTGTATTACAGAAAATTACTTTGATGTTCAGAGTAATATGTGTTTTTGTGAGACGTGTCACAAGATCAGACGTGAGGAGGTATATCATAAGCGTGGGGACCCTCCTCGCGAGTATGCACTTCCGTACGGCTGGTGCAGATTCTCTATTAGGTGAGAGACTGTGACTTTTAAACATCAATAGACAAAGATTTCTTAACTTCTAGGCACCTTCATGTTTCATTGTTTATGTCAATTATTTATAAAAACCTGGAACAAAGACATGATTTTGTGCCTTTCAAATCAGGTTTGATAACTGGTGACTTGAAAAGCATTTCATGTTGTTTGAAAATAGATCCAGCCATGTCTACAAAAAGTTGTCAGTTGAATAAGTTAGCAGTTACACAGTGTTTTACAACACACCAACACAAAAGACACAACAGTGTTTTACAACACACCAACACAAAAGACACAACAGTGTTTAACAACACACCAACACAAAAGATATAACAGTGTTTTACAACACACCCAACACAAAAAATATAACAATGTTTTACAACACACCCAACACACCTGGCTAAACATTTCGTGTAAAAGGATTTGATAATTGTCGACTTGTTAGTCTGTATCATTGTGACCCTCCAGGTGTTACCCCAGATTCATGGACCATAAATCTACAGTCTATTTCCTCATCTCCTTGTAAAGTTCTGTGATGACAACTAAAGCCAAGTTATTTATGAAATCACACCAAAATCAATCACATAAGGAAAAGCTACAATTCTACATAACTTGTAAGGAGAAAACGATGGTGATTCAAGAAAAGATGATATTAAGAAGAAGATGATATTTGATAACAGATATATTACCAACTGGAGTTCTCTTTATTATCATTATTAGTTGTTAAATGTACATTTAGTTTTAATGATAACGTAAAAACTGTGATTCTAAACTGCTTTTTTATATTTTATTCTTGCAGGTTACTAAATAAAGCAAATACATTGAATATAGCGGAGAAGTGGCATGTTGGTTATTATGGAGCCCGAATGGAAGCAGTACGGAGAATCCTCGATAGTGGAGATCTTCATGCAGTGGGTAAGGGGCACATAACTCTAGGAATGTGTTTTAAAAAAATAAAATATGGGCGTACAAGTGATTTGACTAGCAATCCATATTCTTTATAATTTAAAAATGAAAATCCTATGATTGACAATATATTGCACCAAAGTTATCTTCTGCTGCCTTTACTTTTTCATTATATCATGTGTTGTTGTTCCGATTGTGTTAAATTGGTCTATGGAGGCAGGGTTGTTGTAGTCTAGGTCTATATTTTGAATGTTTCCTTAAATATAGGACAATGAAAATTGATAATACTTCTATGTAAATTTGTAAGAGAGTAGCTGTCGTATTTAATCTGTATGATATTGTAAGTGTATGACTGCTGTATGTCCTGTATGATGTTGTAAGTGTATGACTGCTGTATGTCCAGGTGGAAGTATTTAATCTGTATGATGTTGTAAGTGTATGACTGCTGTATGTTCAGGTGGAAGTATTTAATCTGTATGATGTTGTAAGTGTATGACTGCTGTATGTTCCAGGTGGAAGTATTTAATCTGTATGATGTAAGTGTATGACTGCTGTATGTCCAGGTGGAAGTATTTAATCTGTATGATGTTGTAAGTGTATGACTGCTGTATGTTCCAGGTGGAAGTATTTAATCTGTATGATGTAAGTGTATGACTGCTGTATGTAATCTGTATGATGTTGTAAGTGTATGACTGCTGTATGTCCAGGTGGAAGTATTTAATCTGTATGATGTAAGTGTATGACTGCTGTATGTCCAGGTGGAAGTATTTAATCTGTATGATGTTGTAAGTGTGTATGACTTCTGTATGTCCAGGTGGAAGTATTTAATCTGTATGATGTTGTAAGTGTATGACTGCTGTATGTCCAGGTGGAAGTATTTAATCTGTATGATGTTGTAAGTGTATGACTGCTGTATGTCCAGGTGGAAGTATTTAATCTGTATGATGTAAGTGTATGACTTCTGTATGTCCAGGTGGAAGTATTTAATCTGTATGATGTTGTAAGTGTATGACTGCTGTATGTCCAGGTGGAAGTATTTAATCTGTATGATGTAAGTGTATGACTGCTGTATGTCCAGGTGGAAGTATTTAATCTGTATGATGATGTAAGTGTATGACTGCTGTATGTCCAGGTGGAAGTATTTAATCTGTATGATGTAAGTGTATGACTGCTGTATGTCCAGGTGGAAGTATTTAATCTGTATGATGTTGTAAGTGTATGACTGCTGTATGTCCAGGTGGAAGTATTTAATCTGTATGATGTAAGTGTATGACTGCTGTATGTCCTGCTGTAGGTGGAAGTATTTAATATTTAATCTGTATGATGTTGTAAGTGTATGACTGCTGTATGTCCAGGTGGAAGTATTTAATCTGTATGATGTAAGTGTATGACTGCTGTATGTCCAGGTGGAAGTATTTAATCTGTATGATGTAAGTGTATGACTGCTGTATGTCCAGGTGGAAGTATTTAATCTGTATGATGTTGTAAGTGTATGACTGCTGTATGTCCTGCTGTAGGTGGAAGTATTTAATCTGTATGATGTTGTAAGTGTATTACTGATTTATGTCCAGGTGTAAGTATTTAATCAGTATGATGTTGTAATAGTATGACTGCTGTATGTCCAGGTGGAAGTATTTAATCTGTATGATGTATGTTCCAGGTGGAAGTAGTGTATGATGACTGCTGTATGTCCAGGTGGAAGTATTTAATCTGTATGATGTGCTGTATGTCCAGGTGGAAGTATTTAATCTGTATGATGTAAGTGTATGACTGCTGTATGACTGCTGTATGTCCAGGTGGAAGTATTTAATCTGTATGATGTAAGTGTATGACTGCTGTATGTCCAGGTGGAAGTATTTAATCTGTATGATGTTGTAAGTGTATGACTGCTGTATGTCCAGGTGGAAGTATTTAATCTGTATGTGTGGAAGTATTTAATCTGTAGTGTATGTATGACTGCTGTATGTCCAGGTGGAAGTATTTAATCTGTATGATGTATGACTGCTGTATGTCCAGGTGTGTATGACTGCTGTATGTCCAGGTGGAAGTATTTAATCTGTATGATGTATGACTGCTGTATGTCCAGGTGGAAGTATTTAATCTGTATGATGTTGTAAGTGTATGATGTTGTGTAAGTGTATGACTGCTGTATGTCTAGGTGGAAGTATTTAATCTGTATGATGTTGTAAGTGTATGACTGCTGTATGTCCAGGTGGAAGTATTTAATCTGTATGATGTTGTAAGTGTATGACTGCTGTATGTTCTAGGTGGAAGTATTTAATCTGTATGATGTAAGTGTATGACTGCTGTATGTCCTGATGGAAGTATTTAATCTGTATGATGTTGTAAGTGTATGACTGCTGTATGTTCCAGGTGGAAGTATTTAATCTGTATGATGTAAGTGTATGACTGCTGTATGTTCCAGGTAGAAGTATTTAATCTGTGCTGTATGTCCAGGTGGAAGTATTTAATCTGTATGATGTTGTAAGTGTATGACTGCTGTATGTCCAGGTGGAAGTATTTAATCTGTATGATGTTGTAAGTGTATGACTGCTGTATGTCCAGGTGGAAGTATTTAATCTGTATGTTGTAAGTGTATGACTGCTGTATGTTCCAGGTGGAAGTATTTAATCTGTATGATGTAAGTGTATGACTGCTGTATGTCCAGGTGGAAGTATTTAATCTGTATGATGTAAGTGTATGACTGCTGTATGTCCAGGTGGAAGTATTTAATCTGTATGATGTTGTAAGTGTATGACTGCTGTATGTCCAGGTGGAAGTATGTAATCTGTATGATGTTGTAAGTGTATGACTGCTGTATGTCCAGGTGGAAGTATTTAATCTGTATGATGTAAGTGTATGACTGCTGTATGTCCAGGTGGAAGTATTTAATCTGTATGATGTTGTAAGTGTATGACTGCTGTATGTTCTAGGTGGAAGTATTTAATCTGGAAGTATTTAATCTGTATGATGTTGTAAGTGTATGACTGCTGTATGTCCAGGTGGAAGTATTTAATCTGTATGATGTAAGTGTATGACTGCTGTATGTCCAGGTGGAAGTATTTAATCTGTATGATGTAAGTGTATGACTGCTGTATGTCCAGGTGGAAGTATTTAATCTGTATGATGTAAGTGTATGACTGCTGTATGTCCAGGTGGAAGTATTTAATCTGTATGATGTGTAAGTGTGTTGTAAGTGTATGACTGCTGTATGTCCAGGTGGAAGTATTTAATCTGTATGATGTAAGTGTATGACTGCTGTATGTCCAGGTGGAAGTATTTAATCTGTATGATGTATTTAATCTGTATGATGTTTTAATCTGTAAGTGTATGACTGCTGTATGTCCAGGTGGAAGTATTTAATCTGTATGATGTTGTAAGTGTATGACTGCTGTATGTCCAGGTGGAAGTATTTAATCTGTATGATGTTGTAAGTGTATGACTGCTGTATGTTCTAGGTGGAAGTATTTAATCTGTATGATGTAAGTGTATGACTGCTGTATGTCCAGGTGGAAGTATTTAATCTGTATGATGTTGTAAGTGTATGACTGCTGTATGTCCAGGTGGAAGTATTTAATCTGTATGATGTTGTAAGGGAATGACTGCTGGATTACCAGTTGGAAGTATTTAATCTGTATGATGTAAGTGTATGACTGCTGTATGTCCAGGTGGAAGTATTTAATCTGTATGATGTAAGTGTATGACTGCTGTATGTCCAGGTGGAAGTATTTAATCTGTATGATGTTGTAAGTGTATTACTGCTGTATGTTCTAGGTGGAAGTATTTAATCTGTATGATGTAAGTGTATGACTGCTGTATGTCCAGGTGGAAGTATTTAATCTGTATGATGTTGTAAGTGTATGACTGCTGTATGTCCAGGTGGAAGTATTTAATCTGTATGATGTTGTAAGTGTATGACTGCTGTATGTCCAGGTGGAAGTATTTAATCTGTATGATGTTGTAAGTGTATGACTGCTGTATGTCCAGGTGGAAGTATTTAATCTGTATGATGTTGTAAGTGTATGACTGCTGTATGTCCAGGTGGAAGTATTTAATCTGTATGATGTTGTAAGTGTATGACTGCTGTATGTCCAGGTGGAAGTATTTAATCTGTATGATGTTGTAAGTGTATGACTGCTGTATGTCCAGGTGGAAGTATTTAATCTGTATGATGTAAGTGTATGACTGCTGTATGTCCAGGTGGAAGTATTTAATCTGTATGATGTTGTAAGTGTATGACTGCTGTATGTCCAGGTGGAAGTATTTAATCTGTATGATGTAAGTGTATGACTGCTGTATGTCCAGGTGGAAGTATTTAATCTGTATGATGTTGTAAGTGTATTACTGCTGTATGTTCTAGGTGAGGTGGCAACAGGAGGTAGTATACTGTTGCCACAGCCAGTACCAGTCACAGAAAAGTCCAGTCCAGACGGCTGTGGTCTTAAACAGATCTTCCTCTCACCAACAATAAGATATGCAGGCTGTAATGAATTCTCTCCAAAATATCGGTAAATTCCTCCTAAAAGTTTCTTTCTAGTTTCAGGCATTCAGCAGAAAATGAAACTGTTATGTGATAAGGAAGAGGTCAAAATTTAAAGCATAGGTTGTTTAGCAGGTCAAAGTCAAACAACTAATCAATCATCCCTATGATTTGACTTCGAAGCTAATCTGCCAGCTAATTCTGGTTAAATTGATAGATGGGTAAGGTAGCTGTGGGTAAATTGCTGAATGAGTCAACTTGCTCAGTGATTTCTGAATGAGACAGCTTGCTCAGTGATTTCTGAATGAGTCAACTTGCTCAGTGATTTCTGAATGAGACAACTTGCTCAGTGATTTCTGAATGAGACAACTTGCTCAGTGATTTCTGAATGAGTCAACTTGCTCAGTGATTTCTGAATGAGACAACTTGCTCAGTGATTTCTGAATGAGTCAACTTGCTCAGTGATTTCTGAATGAGTCAACTTGCTTAGTTATTTCTGAATGAGTCAACTTGCTCAGTGATTTCTGAATGAGTCAACTTGCTTAGTTATTTCTGAATGAGTCAACTTGCTTAGTGATTTCTGAATGAGACAACTTGCTCAGTGATTTCTGAATGAGTCAACTTGCTTAGTTATTTCTGAATGAGTCAACTTGCTCAGTGATTTCTGAATGAGTCAACTTGCTCAGTGATTTCTGAATGAGACAACTTGCTCTATGGTTAAGATGCTAAATGAATCAGTTAACTCTGAGTTAATTTGTGGAATATGTATACTGGCTGAGCAGTCAAATTATTGAACTGATGTTAATGTTATAGTTCCTAAATGATATCAGGTAGTGTTCAAAGTCAGTAGGAATAGAGAGATAAAGTATGAATAGGATTTTATTATTGAAGGGCTCCATTTTCAAGGATTGATAAAAAAAAATTGATGTTGAAATTAATACTTATAAATCCATATTGTGGTTCATAACTTTCATGAAAAATACCATATTTATCCTCAAATAAAGCCCCCTCCGTTACTGTAAGATTTCATATTAAAGTCCAAGAAGGACAGAATTGTGAAATGCTTACTGTAGAATCGATGACACTGCTAAAATGAGGATTGGACGTATTTGTAGGCACAGGCTTAATTGCATATAGATACAATATATCTTTGTTTTAAGCTTTTGATAAAACTGCAAACAATTAAGGAAAAAGTCAAACTTAACAGAACTTTAGTTGATGATAAGAAGAATTTTTTCCTTGGCAGCTTAGATAATGAGCGACAGATTTTAACTCTGCACTTCACAGTAAAGCTATTTGTTTGTATTTGTTTGTACAGAATGGTCGACCCTAAGACAAGAAAGACATATCATGTTCGAGTGGCATTCCAGGTGTGGCTGAAACCAGGATCTTACAAAGTAGGACCTCAGTCTCTGGGGGTCAATGAACAAATTGACCCCAAAATTAGTAACAATGAACTTGAATGGTCAACAAAGGAGCGTGGCTCAATCATGTTGGATGGACTACTTGTCAAGATAGAATGAGTGTGTGAGGTCAGATCTGAAATTGATTCATAGGAACGTTGTGTCCGTTACAAATTTCACAAAGATGTACTACAAGTACACATTTCAAACTTCTCTTACCGTCAACTGGCACCACTTCACAGAAATAGTTAAGATTTTAATAAATACTTGCTAATGTTTTTTTTATAGTGCTCGAATAGTTTTAAAGTTTCCCTCCAGTATACCATAATTTTTCAAGTCAATATTAAAAAATAATTCTATATTTGGGTGGTAACCAATGTCGCAGTCGGCACAAAAATGACTGATAATAAATCTGCTGTCCAGCTACCTCTTAGGAGAAATGTCGTTTTTTTATGAAACTCAGCAAACCTTTAAAGATTGGACAGTTCTGAAAAAAATATTCTCCACTCAAAGTTTTGTTTTTTTTTTCGTGTCCCCCACACCGATATTGTCTTCAAAGACGCTGTGATAAGCTACCAAGGATTCCAATAACATTGTTTATTTTGTATTACTCCAGTTTTATATGAAATGCATAAATGTGTTTTGACCTTGTCAGGATAAAAATGAAACAGATGTCTACTCAATTCTTCTGTATTTCTCTGTACTGATACAGGCGTACATCATCTTCTGTATTTCTCTGTACTGATGCAGGCGCACGTCATCTTCTGTATTTCTCTGTACTGATGCAGGCGCACGTCATCTTCTGTATTTCTCTGTACTGATGCAGGCGCACGTCATCTTCTGTATTTCTCTGTACTGATGCAGGCGCACGTCATCTTCTGTATTTCTCTGTACTGATGCAGGCGCACGTCATCTTCTGTATTTCTCTGTACTGATGCAGGCGCACGTCATCTTCTGTATTTCTCTGTACTGATGCAGGCGCACGTCATCTTCTGTATTTCTCTGTACTGATGCAGGGGCACGTCATCTTCTGTATTTCTCTTTACTGATGCAGCCGCACGTCATCTTCTGTATTTCTCTGTACTGATGCAGGCGCACGTCATCTTCTGTATTTCTCTGTACTGATGCAGGCGCACGTCATCTTCTGTATTTCTCTGTACTGATGCAGGCGCACGTCATCTTCTGTATTTCTCTGTACTGATACAGGCGGACATCAGTTATTGATGTTTATGTAAATCATAAATATAGTGCTAGTAGAATTTGATAATTATTATTAATCAAGATATTTTAGGGCAGGTAATTATCAACTTTAAAGAGTTTTGGTCATAATTCCAGTTCTTCAATTCTGTTACATCGTAATCTAGATAACACTACCACCAAGATTGTGCCACTAAAAGATATTCCAATACCTGTTTTTCAGCAGTCAAATATACTTGTAACTTATCAGTGAGAAATTTAATGAGGTAACTGCTCAGTTGGTACAAATGGCTTCCAGGTATTCCTTTGACTGACCATGTCAAATGTGTAAACTGCAGTGTATAAGACACTTTTCATTTGATCCTATTTTTTGTGAGATATCCCTGATTGAAAGTTAAATATTTTGCTTTAGCTTAACACTATAAATCCATAAACTTGAGCAGACAAAACCTTAAGTAAATGAAATCAGTGGAAAATCCACATCTCCAATTCATGAGTTGGCGATATTCAGTTATACATGTATGTACATCTCCCGATACATGATCATGGTACGAGCAGCTGTTACCATTATGAAATAAGTTTTTGATATGTAAAATTGAATATGGTTAGTGGATAGTGTTCAGATTTCTTAACTTTTTCAATACAAATATCTGTATGGCATACATGCTCTGATTGGTCATATGCAGTATGGAAATGTTACGATAGTATATATATTTACGTGCACAAATCATGTGTACATAAACTTTTCAAATTACAAGGAAGAATTTTTGATACATAGTTTCCAATTGTAAAATTGTATCCGAGACAGGATGAAAGGGCTGATTTATATGTATAGATACATGTAGTGTGGGTGGTGTTCCCATGTTCGGCAAGCTGTACATGTTGTACAAGTCAAAACAGTGGTATCCTAAGACATTCTGTTTACATTATGATTACAACATGTATAAAAGAGGAAACAACCAGTTGACATCGGTGGGTAACTACATACACGAACACTAAACAGTGTTGTGAGATATAGTCTTCATTCAGTTTTACTGTTGTCTGTCTGGAGTGGTTGGTTTCAACAGTGATGTCTCCTGTTATCTTTTTCCCACCACTTCAATTGTTACACAAAAAACCTCAGTTTGATTTGGGCTTGAGATGAATCACTTTAATGGTTACTGAGAATGTGTGGACTACTGCAACACCATGATGTGCGTTATTTAACAATTGTGGCATTTTTATGATATTTGCTATCAACAAATACCATGAAATTGTTTTTTTAAGTAATGATTAACTATAGTTATTTCAGACATAGACTAAGCATCATCTATGACAAGATTGTTCACCTATCTCCATATATATAGCAGAGATGAAAAATTTCCGCCGATCGGTGGATTTCTGCATTTTTTATGACAAATTTGGTCATTTTTGAGATCGATGCAAATCCGGTGAGAAAATTTCAGGGGTGGGGGTGGGGAGGGGGGAGGTTAGGTATGTCTTGATGATGCAATCTTCATCAACTCCGTTCTTAAATCCTTCGATTTATATGCCCTTATAAACTGTAAAATTAAACATCGAGCAGTTACGAGCACCGAGTTTCCGGTATTGTCAAATCGATAATATGAAGGAAGATAACTCTTACATCAGTCGAACGTTTGAAAGCTATAGTTGAATTACAACAGAGATGAAAAATTTCCATCGATCGGCAGATTTCCGCCTTTTCCAATGCCAGCCACTTTCATCTCTGTATATAGCCAACTCGGGTTATTGCATCCTTTCAAAATAAATTTTAAAGGAAAGTACAAAAAAAAAAATTATTTTTCACTGTCTTACATCATTTTGTAAACAATACACTGTACACAAATGTTTCACTTTAAAATGATTATGAACAGTTGTAAATTAACATAGGTGTGATCTGTGTGGTCTCAGTAGGTAAATAGAGTATCGCTCCTGCAAAATTAACACCTCACACGTCACGTGACCTTGTTTAGCATTCAAAATGTGTACATTCGCCAGACTAACCCAAAGGGCATGGGACCAGCTTTTGTGGTTGTCTATGTGCCAAGAGAGATGGGATATCACCGACATTATTCCACCAATTTAGGCTGAAATATGGCATTATGAAAAATTGCCACCAAAACCCTTTAGTTGGTTATTAAATGAGAATGTCATGTTTCATTTCCTTTAATACTGTGTTTTATACGCTCTTTGTTGAACAAGATAATTTAATTGTGGTTTAGAATAGATTAATTGTTACGAGATTAACACGACACTCATATTCTGAGCTGCTTAATTCTGAAGAAGGATTTGATGTCTGTTACCCATAGCATTAACATTTGTATACTTTTGATGATTAAAGTATTTGACGTCTTTAAACAAAAATGACCATAAAATGGCAAATTCTGAATTTGACAGGTCTATGTTTTGTGGGAGAAGAGCAAGCTGATTGGTGTGTGTGAATAATACACTGGAAACAAAACAATAATATACAGGTTTTGGAAAAATAACCTTATTGTTATGTATAAACAAATTTTCATGTTTCAAGTCACTGTGTATACTTATAGGTTAATCATTCCACTCACAAAATGTTGGCTTTTTTTACAAGATATCTGAAATATTTTCACATCTTTTGTACCAAAATTTTTAATAATCATTGAGTTTCACTGACCTGAATCATTGTTATAAAACATGTGTTCCAATCTGTCTCCTGAAACATTATAGCAATCATGACGAGCAGTCACAACAATGGTCAGTATTACAATTATTGTGTTGTTAATGCAGATATGTAGAAAAGGATAATAAAAGAAAACGCTTTTTAAAGCTGCAATATGTGAAATGTATACCCAAAATGATTCCTGTTTAACATTTCAAACAATTACAAAATGTTTATAAGAACCTCATCCAGCCATTAGATTGACTTGTGTATTCTAATGGATAAGATGTTCACAGATACAGTATGTGTTTGATGGATTTGATAATCTCACAATATACATGTTCACATTGTTATATTTTCAAATTTCAATACCTTTGATGTGCTATTTGTGATATCTGTGATTTTTTTATGTTCAGTGATGTGTTTCTAAACAATGCTAATGCCTGTAAGCTTTCAAATGCTTAGAGTCATAAGCTGAAACAAAGCTCAATCAGAGTGTGAGCTTTTAATACTCAAAGCTTGAATTTTTTTAATGATTAGAGCACTAAGCTTGTTAAAACTGTGCTTCAAGATGCTCAGAGGCATAAGCAAGTTAAAATGATCCTCAGAATGGTCAGCTTGTTCAAACGGTCCTTGGCACTGCTCAGAGCCATGAGTTGGTTTTAACCATTCTCAGAGCTATTAGCTAGTTTAAACAAATTTCAAAAACATAGCTCTAAGCCGTGAGCTAGTTAAAACACAGCTTGGAGCTGTGAACTAGTTCAAGGCCTTGATCTAGTTAAAAACATAGCTTGGAGTTGTGAGTTAGTTAAAACAAAGCTCAGAGCTGTGAACTAGTTCAAGGCCTTGAGCTAGTTAAAACATAGCTCAGAGCTGTGAACTAGTTAAAACATAGCTCAGAGCTGTGAACTAGTTAAAACATAGCTCAGAGCTGTAAGCTAGTTAAGTCCATCCTCCAAGCAGTAAGGTATTATTTTCGGACACATTACATAAGGATATTGTCATTATTTATTTATATGACCTAGAACTGGGTTATTCGGGTGTCAGTGTCTTACATTGATATCAGCTGACCTTATAAGTACAAGTGATGTACTTACAGCACTGCAGACACAATTGATTGTTTTGATAAAAAACCAAACAAATGTGATATTCTATGTTATTGATGATTAATCTGATTTTATTGACATCTTTGTCTGTTTTGGGCAGTTGGGGGAGGGGGTGTGGGAGGGAGGGGCTGTTGGTTAATTATTGTATATTGCAGCATTTATTTTCCTGCCGTTATTGACAC